CAACTTGTTCTGCGGTTGAATTCATAAAGCAATGTGGAATTGAGCTCTGGTGTCAAATACCCCAGCTTCAATTTTAGGGAAACATGGAAGAAGTTTTCAAAACGTAAGGCATTTTTAAATCATAAACATTAGAAACTAGTTCTTTACGATTTTTGAATTTACTGCAGTTATTTCAGTGGGGAAAAAAATATTTTATTTGTGTTCTCCAAACAGACCTGAAATGACAGAATCTACTCAAAACAGAATCAAATTGTGTCAAGAAATGATTATATAACTGAAATGTCATACATCTTTGGGGTAGGGATCCTTGGTAGATCCTCTGAGGATATTATTCTTAATCTCGCGGGGTCGTGTAGATCTCGCGTTGTTTGAATCACATGTCTCTGTGCTGGAAACTCCTGCGCCGTCTTTCCTCAGAGGTTAACGAAGAGAGCAGACACGCTTTGCGTGGTTCTGCAAACATACTCTGCAATAATGGTAGGTTTAAAGAAGTTAAATGTATCCGTTATAAAACGACAGAGAAAGTAACTAATGTTGCATTACAACAGCTTAGGTTGGCTTTGATTGTAGTGTTTAATTGCAACAAACTAACGGGCCTGTTAGAACATTAGAGGCGCGGCTAGCTAGCCCCGGTTAATATTGGTAGAAACTTATGTTCGCATCGTTGAGACGGATGTAGATCACTTAGAAAGAAGATGGGTTTAACTTAAGTGGTAACATCTGCTAAACGGAGGGTTTCTGCTCCTGCTGTGCACTAAGGTTTAGTTTAACTGTTAGCAATTGTTAGCACTGTAGCATCATACCTAGGGCCCAGAACAACACGTGGGGTCCACATGAAGGCCATTCGGTTACTCCAGAACTAACACTTTGTTCTTTAACACATTTAAACTGATTTAGGTTAGGAATGGACGGATTTTATTTCAGTTCACAAAATGTAACCCGATAAACCCCGTTATTTTTGCTCGATTGTTAACCACGTGTCGACCCTGCAGTCACAGCGGCATTATTCTGTGAGCGTTTTACTTACAGAAAATACAGAAAAAATAGAGGATGGCACTCATTAGGAGTAACTCATGTCAGATCGGGACATGAACCCAGTAGATTATTTAGTGATCTAAGGTTAAAAGGCTGCTATTTAAGTCTGATTGATCTTGACTGTTTTGAAATAAAATGGTTTAATCGAAATGTAATGGCTGCTTTTAGTTTAGTGTTCCAAAAGCTTCTTATTCTACTGATTGAATATAAATATTAATCTTAATTTGGAATCATGTCACTAAATATTAGGATTTCCTCATTGTTGTTTGGTTGCTGTGTGATCTTAAAAGTTTATTTTTGCCAAATTCTCTAAAGCATAACAGGATATCCAAATATTTTATAAATGGACAGTTTCTTTTATGTCCATATCATGTATTTGAATGGGAATGAAGCTTTAACTTCTTACTAGTTATGTTGGCATAATTTAAATTTCCATCTGCAGGTTGTGCTGCATGTGTTGTTCGAGCATGCGGCAGGTTACGCTCTGTTCGTGGTCAAAGAGGTGGAGGAGATCGGCATGCTGCTCCCTCAGGTGAGATTATGGATGTCCTGGTCTTTGATTGTGCTGCTGTGGGAGCAGGATTCACTGAGTGGGTGTTTGACAGGTGGAGCAGAGCGTCTTGAGTCTGGGGAAATTCAACAGCATGGTGAGCCTGGCTGCCTTCTTCCCCTTCCGGTCTGCTCAGGCTGCCTTGGAGAACATGAACGCCATATCTGAAGGTCTGTGGTTTTCAGTGGATGTCTGTAAATAAGGTCTCCTTTATGGGAATAAGTTCTTTTTTGTAGTCTGTAAAAATTGTTGGTGCTGGTCCTCAGTTGTAATGATGCATTTTAATCTGTCAATCCACTGAATTGATGTGATGACAACCTAATGTTGACCCTGAACATCTGAGGGAAGCAGTATTATGTTTTTGATGTGCATCACCTCGCTATCCACTGAGTCACATGTTTTGGTCTTTGCAGGTGTGGTCCATGCAGATCTGAAGTTGTTCTTGGAAACCAACCTTCCTCTGTCTGGAAAGAAGAAGGCTACCTTGGGAGTGTCTGATGCCAAAATCGGAGCCGCTCTTCAGGAAGAATTCACCATTTCTATACAAACCGGCGGGGCGGTGGCTGAGATAATCAGAGGTCAGGATGGTTCTCTTTTTTTTTTTTTTCTTCTTCTTCCAAGATTCTTGCATAAAAGAAAAGTGTTAAATAAGTGGCCCGTTGTGATGCATCCTTATCCTGAAACTCATGAAGGTTTATACTGAAAATCTGAACAGCCACAAGATGTTAGAGATTTTTGTTCCCTCTTACTGTGAGGAAAACTTCTCAAACAGCCTCTTTAATCCTGACAGGTGTTCGTCTGCATTTCCACTCCCTGGTGAAGGGTCTGACTGCCCAGGCCGCCTCCAAGGCCCAACTGGGTCTGGGTCACAGTTACTCCAGAGCCAAAGTCAAGTTCAATGTCAACAGGGCCGATAACATGATCATCCAGTCCATTGCTCTGTTGGATCAGCTCGACAAAGACATCAACACCTTCTCCATGCGAGTCCGGTGGGTTTATGATGCTTTTTGCTCAACAGCGTAACAGCATGAGGTTCATTCATTATCCTCCTAATGCTTACCACAGATGGTGCATCAGAGTACTGCCTGCATAGAAACTGGAGGCACATGAAGCTCTCCCAGCACTGTTGCTTTGTTGGCTATTGTCCAGTAAGGCTCACTGTTGGTTGAGACATCATTTATTTTTATTTTCACAGCTCAGATTGGTGTCGAAGCATAGCTTATTCTGACTTTCATGTCCATTACCTTTATAACCTTGGTTAACCTGCATTCTTCTGTTTGCAGTGAATGGTACGGCTACCACTTTCCAGAGCTGATCAAGATCGTGTCGGAGAACTCCATGTACTGCCGTCTGGCTCAGCTCATCGGCAACAGGAAGGAGCTCTCAGAGGAGAGTCTGGAGAGCCTTGAAGAAGTGGTGATGGACAGCGCCAAGGCTCAGGCCATCCTGGATGCTTCACGCTCCTCCATGGGTGAGCAAACGGCGATAGCGGTGCAGGTTGGGCAGCTTTGCCTCTACTGGGAGGTTATTGCTTTCAATCTTTCTGTTGAATTGGGCCTAAAAAAATATTGTGCCTAGGGATATTGTGGAATTGTGACTTATTTTAATCTTAAAGTCCAGTAGTAGATTGTTAAAATACGCGAAAGTTCTAGTGTGATAAAAGCAAAATGTCTATTCAAGAGAAGTGTCATTGAGCCCCTTTTATGCCCACCTTGGACCACCAGTCGTCCTTGGTGCCTAACACAGGGGGGCAGAGCAACTCTCTCATAAACCTGTAGTGGAGGCACTAATCCTCGCTGCGGATCCTGTCGGGAGAAACATCCTCAATGTAAACGATGCAGTGGATGAGAAGTTATTGCTTCTTCTCATTGTTCCCTTGTCTTCCTATTCTTCAGGTATGGACATTTCACCCATCGATTTAATCAACATAGAGAGGTTCTCGAACCGTGTGGTGTCTCTGGCCGCCTATAGGCTGGAGCTGCAGGAGTACCTCCGCTCCAAGATGAGTCAGGTGGCCCCAAACCTGGCAGCCCTGATTGGAGAAGTGGTGAGCGAATCTTTTTGATTTTCATGATCCATGGGACCGATGATGTTATACCAAAATCTGTCAATCCACTGATCCTATGTGATGAGAAATACATTCGGTGCTGAAGGTCCTTTTTTAAAATGTGCAGAGCCTGAATAAACTGCCTTATGGTGTGAGTTTCTTGGCGGTAAAGACATGTTCTTACTTTTCCAGGTTGGAGCCCGACTTATCTCCCATGCTGGTAGTTTGACCAACCTGGCCAAGTACCCGGCGTCCACCGTTCAGATCCTGGGAGCAGAAAAGGCCCTGTTCAGGTACTGGGGCGCCCCCTCCCTGCTGGGGAAAGAAGTGGCTGCAGTGATGGCAGGGTTGGGCTGGAGCAGAGTTGGGTGACTGGAGTGACTACTCTGGAGTGAGCCCACTCGTTCTAATGCACCCCCACAGTCTGAGCAGCCACTTAGATCACTGAGGTAGACATGAGCTGTTGCACAAAGTTACACCTGCTGAATCGTACAATTTTCTCCAGGTTTCTAGTAAAAAATGTCATATAAATGAGAATTAAATGTGCAGCCTGCACACCTCACTAGTCAGTTACATTGGTCACTGGAGAAGCTATTCATCCACTAGAGGGAGCTGTTCACCAGCTGGCTTTATATCAACCTTTGTGTTTTTAACTTGTCTTTTAAAAACCTTCACAATGTGAATGTGTCCCTACATGTGAGAAGATTTAAGGTGTTTAACTTAACAGATGCCTCGTGATTTTAACAAGTTTTTTTTCTTTTTCAGATTAATCAGTGATTAGATTGTTTCTAATAGAGGTGAAAAGATAATTATGTGTCCACACAGAGCTTTGAAAACAAGAGGAAACACGCCCAAATATGGCCTCATCTTCCACTCAACCTTCATTGGACGAGCTGCAGCGAAGAACAAAGGCCGCATCTCTAGATATCTGGCAAACAAGTGCACCATTGCTTCACGCATCGACTGTTTCTCCGGTGAGTGAACGTGTGGATCTTCTGTGGAGACTTGTAGAAATGCCTGCAATGATGCTTTCATTTTTCGTCAACAGCATTCATCCGACAGGTTGATGTTGAGAAGTTGTTTTCTGAGGAGGACTGCATGTGCTCTGCACAGAATAACAGAGTATGGAATCCTCCCTCTGACTGTTATTGTTTCATTCCTTCCAGAGCTCCCCACTAGTGTATTTGGAGACAAATTGCGTGAGCAGGTGGAGGAGCGTCTGTCTTTTTATGAGACAGGAGAGGTGCCGCGGAAAAATGTTGACGTCATGACTGAGGCTGTGAAAGAGGTGAGCTCAGTTTTAAGTCTCTAAAAGCATTGATTACAGGTGTGGTGTTGGTCTACCTTTTAAAAGTTTTATAAATGTGCTGTAAATGATGACAGAATATTTCCCTGACATAATGCTGAGGGTAGAAACTGATTTAATGAGCCTGATGCAGCATTTTAAAGTCCCTTGGTTGGTAATCTGATGTTGCTTTCCTGATTTCATCAGTTTTTGGTTCCCTTTCCTTTTCAGGCTACTGATGTTGCAGCTGAAATGAAACGTAAACTGGAGAAGAAAGAGAAGAAACGTAAGAAGCGTGAGAAGAAGCTGCAGGAACTTGCAGCAAATGGAGAAACAAACGGCGAAGCAGAGGTGAGCTTTGTGGATTTTTTTCTGCTGCATGTTCAGATTTGAGACCTGACCCACATTTATGGTCTGGCCTCAGTGTACGGCATGCTAGATCAACTTTAGACTCCGAACCATTGGCTGGTCCTCCTTAGTGGGCTAGATCACTGAAGAGAGTCAGACAGCAACTCAGTTTAAAGCAAATACTGATGTTGAATGCTTTTGGAGTCATTTTTGCACCAAATGTGCACTACTTAAAATTTTATGTCATAAAATTTAAAATGTTTTAAGTATAGAGAGTTTTGCATGTAGACAAACTGCTTTTTATTAATTTTTTTTTTTTTTGTAAGATGGAGGATGGAGAAGCCGACACACCTGTGGTGAAGAAGAAAAAGAAAAGGCAAGCTGCAGAGCAGACTGAGGAGGCTGAATCGGTTGAGACTCCGGTCAAAGCAAAGAAAAAACAAAAGGCTGAAGACGCAGAGGAAACCACGGACAATGGGGCGGAGGAAACGCCGGTCCCACCTAAGAAAAAGAAACGAAAGAGTGAAGCTGTAGCTGAGGAGGCAGAAGAGGAAGCTCCAGAAGCAGTTGCATCTGAAAAGAAAAAGAAAAAAAAGAAAAAGACAGAATAGTTTAAAAGGACTCTTCATTTCAGTGTACAGTTTATTTTCATACTTATCCTTAGTTAGAATATGTAAGATTTTAAGTAGAGTAGATGCTTTTGAATGTATCTTTGAGTTAAAGTTGTATAGATGGTTTCTATCAAAGTGAGGAATTGGTGCCTCATGCCTTAATAAGATGGACCTGCTAATTGTGCTTGTTGGGATTGTTGAATCATGGCCATCTAGAACTGTAATGTAACTGCAGAACCATAAACTCATTTCTATTAAAGCACACTGCAAGCGAGGCTTGAGTGGCTGAAACTGTTTAATACAACATTTTCAGTTTTTCTGAAAAGCTGTTTTTGATAAATGGCAGCAACATTTTAAAGCTGTGATTACTGTAAGTCTCCATGCTGCCAGGAATGACCAGTGTTAAGTGTAGGAGTTCATGGTTTGGATTTGAGGATCTGTTTTGGTGAATATTGTATAAAAGTCCCTCCAACACACTTGGCCGATATGCCTTTTGTTATTTTTGTAATTAACAGTTGTAATAAAGCATCTACTTTGCTACAGTGTGATCTCAATTTTTTTATTTGGACTACATTTCTTGGGTAGAAGGACACAGATGTCTTCCCTGGCCCAAAAAATTAGTCAGATTACCTTTGCAAAAAAGAACCTAATACCGTTTAAAAAAATGTACATAGTCTATCAAAAAACTATGGCAAGCAAACTGAAACTTTCAGGTCCAGTTTTCTAAGCTGGACCTGAAAGTTTCTTGATTTTTAAGTTGAGATTAATCTCTGTGCTCTGCAATATTTGGAACCGATTAGAGGCAAAACTTCACATCCAGTTGCCTAAACTGAACTTTTCAAGCTTGACTGATCTGGATGACTGAGAATCTTCAGATGTATGGTGGCTATAAGCGATTTGGCTCTAGCCAGGTTTCAGCGTGACCTTCCAAATATAACTGGGCTGCTCCCTACGGAGTTCATTACAACCTGCACTCAACTTAAGTTGAGGTTAACCTGCAATTGAAATCAAACCCTTGTCCCCTGTATCAAAGACGGACTTAAATCTGCTGCACCACACAGGGACAAGTTAATCAGTTCTGCTAATTGTGACCATGAAAAAACAAAGATCAGAACATTATAGTAAAATGTGGATTAAATGAAAAATGTGAACTAAATTCTCTCTGGAGGGTCAAATGGAACACAGCATAAAGCAAAAATAATTAGATCCCAGGAATAAATATTTTATATGCCTCAGGACTGCTTTTAAAAAGTGAACAACCAGGGGGGAAGAGTACCTCTCTCCTAGAGATATAACATTAAACCCTCGACTGCAGCAGCTCCTGTGTGTTAAAACATCAGAGAAGGTGTACAGGACAGGAGTAACGGCAATATAAAACCGAACATTTACAGGCATTTATAGCTAGTGGTAAATTCTGTGCAATACTGAGCCTCTTGGCATGCAGCTTTAACAGTAAACTGTAGATATTTCTACAGCTACCTTGAAGATATACCTGGCGAAAAGTTTGATACCTTTTCTACTGTCAACTGTATGGTTTCTGCATAACCTGACTTTACTGGCCAGCAGAGGAATTCATTCCCATGACAAAAAAAAAAAAACTAAAGCACGACATCTGTAGAATATGAAAGAAAAGCTGTGAAAAACATCCTGTTTTTTAAAGGTGTCTTTTTCTTAGGCTCAGACCTAAAAGCTGTAGACCTACTCCTAATATCTACATTTAAACTTTAAACTGAATTTAATTTCCTGTGATCTTTTTTATATAAAGTTTTTTTGTTGTTTTTTTCAGCTAAAACAGCTGGGAAGCAATAAACCATTTGGATTTGAAAAAAAAGAAATTCTCTAATTTTATAAAATAAAGATAAAACTATATTTGGGTGTTTAGTATGCCTAAAACAAGTTTTTTTTATTTTGAAGTTGGCAGTGCAGTGTATATATATATTTATACATACTAAGGACATATTTCATGTACCACCTGTTTCCAATATAAATTTGGGTAAAGATTATTTATAGTTCCTTCTCTCCCCCTTATTCTGACTTTAGCATAAAATACAGCAAAATGGAAGAAACTGTTTTTCTTGCACTGTCCATTTAGATTTTTTTTCATAAAGAGATTTAGATTAATTTTAGAAAAATAAAGATTGTTTAATATCTAGTTGCTTTTATTCTTCTAACTATCCTTTCTTGAAATTCCAGTGAGACAGAAGGAGTTGTGACACATCTTGACAGTAAAAGGTTTGTTGTTTAAAATCCGAAAATGGTTACTATATTTACCTTTTAAATTGTTTTTATTATAGATAATTAGTAGATAGCAATTTTAGCAGGTTTGGCATCTCACTTCTTTATATTTGACAAGTTTTTGAACAACAAAGCAAAGAAGTTCTAATCTCTGATCCATGGATCTCCTAAAATTTGTGGGCATGAAAAAGTTTTAGGTTTTCAGCACAAACTAGTCTAAACTTTACATTCAAGTCATTGTGATTCTCAAAGAATTTAAAATCTTTGCTGAATAAATGCAATCAATTGCAAATTTAAATGGAACTTTGGTTAAATAAAGGCTAATTAACAATAAAGCATTACTAATTTTAACTTAAACTCAGATCACTCCACTGCTACCTAACAGTTTTCCATAAGACTGATAAAAGTTTATAATCAGCATGTTTCACATAAACCAAAGAGGAGATATCAGGCTAACATAAAGTGATTTCTTTGATGAAGTCAACCGTCATGTAATTGTTTAAGCCTCATTTCCTCAGAAATGTCACCTAATTTAGCCTGTGGTAATATTTCTGCAACACCTAGAAAGTACTGCTTTAGGAAGTACTGTTCTTATTTAATCCTGGACATGTGAAGGTCAACATGTATGAAGAAATCACATGCTTTCATGGAGGAAATTAGAAACTTCTGTATATTTAACCCATGACTGTGGTCTTAAAGAATTAGATAATGGTATCAGGAATACCCATCCATCTATTTACCGTCATGCTTATCCCAGCTGGGGTCAGCTATCTATGGGTGAGAGGTGGGGCACACCATGGACAGGTCCTCAGTCCATCGCGGGGCAACACAGAGACAAACAGGACAAACAACTCTCACCATCCAACATCATTGAGCTCCAGCTGTTTTGAAAGGAAGAATGTGTCAAACTGATAGACGTACCCTAAGGGACTTGCAGCTTAATCGAAGCAAAAGTTGGAGCTACAAAGTATTAACTGAAGATGGCAGAATCATTTTTCACACCAAATGTTTCTCTTTTTTTATTTATCTTTTTAAAAGATTTAGTTGCACTTGTTGATTCTTCTGAAAGAATTTTAATTTATAATTATAAACCTGAAATGTGGCAAAAGAGTTTAAGTTTAATACTTTTGCAGTGCACTATACATACAAAAATTAAGGGAACACTCAAATAATACATCCTAGATCTGAAAGAATGAAATAATCTCATTGAATACTTTTTTTTTGTACAAAGTTTAATGTGCTGAAAACAAAATTACACAACAATAATCAATGGAAATCAAATTTATTAACTAATGCAGGCCTGGATTTGGAGTCCATTCAATTCAGTTTATCTATATAGCGCCAATTCACAACACATGTCATCTAAAGGCACAGAGACAATTCAACCAGATGATAGTCAAATTGATTCAAAGTTTTCTATCTAAGGAAAGCCAGTTGATTGCATCAACTCATTGTTACACACAAATTTAAAGCGGAAAAACACTACAGACTGATCCAACTTTTATGTAATGTCCTTCAAACAGGCCAAAATGAAGCTCATTGGTATTTGACCTCCACGTGCCTTTATGACCTTCCCTACAATGCCTGGGCATGATCCAGATGAGTTGGCAGATGGTCTTCTGAGGGATCTCCTCCCAGACCTGGAGAAAAGCATCCACCAACTCCTGGACAGCTTGTGGTGCAATGTGACGTTGGTAGACAGATTAAGACATGAATTCCCAGAAGTGCCCAATCTGATTCAGGTCTGGTGACATGAGGTCTATCATTGTCCTGCTTAGGAGGAAACCCAGGACAAACCTCACCAGCATATGGTCTCACAAGGATCTCATCTCTGTACCTAATGGCAGTCATGCCGCCTCTGACGAGCACATGGAGGATTGTGCTGCCCTACAAAGAAATGCCACCCCACATCATTACTGACCCACTGCCAAACCTGTCAGGTTGAAGGATGTTGCAGGCAGCAGGTCGCTTTCCATGGTGTCACCAGACTCTTATCACGTCCGTCAAATGTGCTCACTGTGAACCTGCTTTCATCTGTGAAGTGCACAGGGCTTCAATGGGGAATTTGCCAATCCTGGTGTTCTCTGGCAAATGCCAAATGTCCTGCTGTGAGCACAACCCCATCTGTGGACATCAGGCCTTTACACCATCCTCGTGGAGTCCATTTCTAACCGTTTGTGCAGATTTGTGGCCTGCTGGAGATCATTTTGCAGGGCTCTGGCAGTGCTCCTCCTGTTTTTCCTTGCACAAAGGTATAGGTGGCAGACGCTGACAGACACAGCAAAGCTTCATGCCACAGCTTGCATTAATGAGGCATCCTGGATGAGTTGCACTACCTGAGCCACTTGTGTGGGTTGTAGAGTCCAGCTCATGCTGTGTATAAAAACACTTGGTCATTCATAGATGACCAAACCTTTAGCCAGAAAGTAAAGGTATCGGGAAATGGTCCCTACCTGCACTTCTTTTGAGTCTCTTACTAAATGCGAATCAGTTCCACCTTTGGCCTATTGCATTTCCACAGCAGCATGTGGAATTGATTGTTAATCAGTGTTGCTTGCTAAATGGACAGCAGAAGTTTGAATTAATTGATGTTATATTGTGATCTTTATGTTCTCTTTTTTTTTTTTTTTTGAGCATCCATTTGCCATTAAGCTTATCCTTGCTGGGGTCACAAGGGGTGCTGGTGCCTATCTCCAAGTGTCAATGGGCGAGAGGCGGGGTAAAACCTGGACATGTCGCCAGTCCATCGCAGGGCAACACAGAGACAAACAACCATTCACACACAGTCACACCTAAGGAGAATTTAGAGAAGCTTATTAACGGTCATGTTTTGGACTGTGGGAGGAAGCTGGAGAACCCGGAGTGAAGCCACCCATGCACAGGGAGAACATGCAAACTTCCAAGCAGAAAGACCACAGGCGGGTAATCGAACCAGTAACCTTCTTGCTGCAAGGCAACCCACTGCCTCACTGCAGCCCCCTTTTTATGAGCAATTAAATAATAAAAAGCAAAAAAAAACAAAAAAAACACGACATAATAAACATTGACAAAAAAGATTCCTGTTTGCAATCTAAGCTATAGTCTCCCCTAACTGGGGGAAATACTGAGTTCATGAAGATCTCACTTTCAGCTGGTCAAACTAAAAGGCAATCACCTCTGGTTACCAATCTTTTAGGATCATTCTTCACCCGTTACAGAGTTTTATTAAAAATACATATTTGTAACTACCTACAAAGATGAATGTGATTTGGGCCCAAAAGCATAAAATGCATGTGAATTAAGGTGGTGGGAACATGTTTCATAGACTTGAAAATATTAATGCCAGATCACTATGAACTGCTGATAACGTTTAATTTGGACAACAAGGATTAAAATGACATCAAATCCAAGGCTTGGCTGATCAAACCAGCCAACAAGTAAGAAATCAGAAAGGAGAGACAAATGGAAAGAAAATGGGGGAGAAAGAAGAAAAGTCACCCTCAGTAAAAGGATTCACAGATGTGGGTGACCAAAGATACAAAAACAATGTTTTTTTTTTCCAAAATAAAAAAGGCCTTTGCTGTGAAAATGATGCATAAAATCTAAGTCCATCATTCTCACTTAATGATTGCAAACAAAGAAAAATCACATCACAAGATGCTTTTGTTCAAGTATATTTACCAACTTTATCTCCAAGGTTTAGCATTCTCATCTTTCCACTTTTTTTGAAATAAAATGTCCTTCAAAAAAGAAAAAAAAAAAACAATGCAGAAAACCACATTTTATGTCCTACCAATACATATATACTGTATAAATACATAAATATATTTTACATACAACAGCCATAAATTTGAAAAGGGAGATATACAGAGCAAAGGGGAAAGGATGGTAGTGTGTGTGTGTTTTAGCTTGTGTTGTAAAAACGCTTTTGTCCCTTATGATCATTTGACATCTGCCCGTTTGTGTCCATGCCCGCCGACGCACACAAACACCCTGCAGGTGTAACCGTCTCAGTTGGCCCAGTAAGGGGAGCTGCCGTAGCTCGACTTGTTGACTTGGCTCTTCTGCTGAAGGCTGCTGGACTGACCGCGCTGGCTCGGCCCGCCCTGCAACACAAGTTATGACCAGAAAAACTAATCATGAAAAATGAATATATGAAATTATAGATTTAACAGCAAAATTACAGTAATTTTACACAGACATATCCAATGGTGTATATGTAATTAGCTTATATGCCAATTCTGCTTGAAGTGGATTTGGTTTAATGACATCCCAACAATTAATTGGTCGATTTTATAGAACATAATAGAGGAACTTCCTTTGACTGATTTCATTTCAACACATTCTGAAGCCTTGGTTTTGCATTTAGGTTTAGTGTTGAGTTAGATTCCAATGACACCCATGCCAGACTGGATAGCAAAGCTAACTGAAATGAAAGGAATCACTTTCCTAACTTTAGCTGTTTAAAACGTTCCATCCACTTGGTTTAAGTGATTTTTCACTGTTTGAATTGCCAAGATATGTTGTTGTTTCTTTTAGCCTGTCAGCATGCATCCTAAAGACACACCTCTTTCGTCCCCCTGCTGCTGACAGGAATTATACCTGGAGCATTAAGCCTTGCCATTCATAGAAGAATGTCTGCATTTGCTCTTTGTGTGAGAAACTGTTCTATAAATGAAGCCCTTATCATTTTTAATTAGTGCTGAAATGTGGAATTGTCTTATGCTAGAATTAAATAAATCATATTCTAATGGTGAGTTTGGAACACAAAAAAGTTCAGAAGAGAAGGCCCTAGTTGTCCAGAATAAAACATTTAACACTTGTTGAAAATTAGAAAAAAAAAAAAACAAAAAAAAAAAAACATGATTAGTCTCTATTATGGAAAAAAATCTGCTGCAAAAATATTTTTCTATAGCTTTGCATAGAACCATTGCTCAGTTCTAAATTACTGCTGCCTGTCTGATTGGTGGTTGACCTAACTAACACAGTATTACACTACGAAATGTTATAGTACCAAAAAATTTTTCACAGTACTTAAATGATTCAGTATTAAAAAAAATCAGATCTTAATTTACTTTATTTCTACTTTGGCAAGTGTCACATATTGACTACCTTCCCAGCAAACTCTGGAAAAACATCATCTGTTTTTTCATCTAGAGAGATGTGTTCAGAATGAGACCCAATGTTTAAAGGCAGGCATACACTGTACGAGTTTTTGCCTTTTTCGGGCTGATTCTCCAGTCGTGCAAAACATCAGGCCGAGTTTCAGCCTTGTGTGTCGTGCGTCGTATAGTATACAAGGGGTAACAAGACGGGATCAGCCTCTCAAGACCACCACCAGGAATCGTAAGGAAATCAAAAATGTTTGAAATTCAGTCGGCCCTTGTGAGGCGTCCGTAAGCGAATCTTGAGCACATGCAAACCAAGTAATTCTTCTACAGTCGACGTTTCACTTCCAGATTGATAAGTCTGACTAGCGCCATCTGTTGGCACAGAGTTTGATGTGTGGTTTTTGGAAATGCAGTGCGAGCAGTTGGATTGCAGATTAGATTAGAGTGTCGGGCCGTACAGTGCGAGAACATACATCGTGAGCTGCTGTTAAACCCTGCAGTTTTATTGTACAGTTTGAGCTGTAGCTGAGTACAACGTTTGAAAGTATACAGTGTATAGCTTACGGTAGACTGCCTCTGACAGAAAAGTTTGATTAAAATTTAAAGGTTGGAAAAGACAACTAAAAAGAAAAAAATGTTTTTGTATTAATCAAAAACTGTATTGATTTTTATTCAAATTCATACTTTAAATGAAAAAAAAAACCCCATCTATATCACAATTTAAAAGATGCATGTTTAAGGCTTTTATTGTAAAGGTCTTTTTTTTAAATACATTTTTAACACCAGCTTGTCTAGGTACTAAAGGTGTAAATTAGCACTGGAACCTGGCTTTTCTGAGCTTAATTTGTATTTTACACCATCCCTTTAATAAATAAACTAGACTAAATTAAGGAAGGAATGGTCTAATTAGACCTAGTCTGCACACCATTTAACTTAAAGGGAACACACCTGCTGTCTCAGACTACAAAAAAAAAAAATCTCATTACTAGTCCTGCAGAGTATAAGCAACTTGACTTCTAGCCACGTGTCTAATATATCTGATGGTTACCGGTTAAGTGGAGGAGGCAGATGGAGGCCTGAATGCACCAACTACATCTGTGCACACCAGCTGCTTGGCTCTCGCACATATGCTTGCACTTTTAACTCAATTAGCATTCTGTCAGTAGAGCAGGCATGCAGAGCCTCTGCAGGTAACATGATTCTGGATAAAAAAAAAAAAGATTGAACCTATTTAACTGGCTTTAAATAATCAAAAGATTTTATATAACGGAAGTCTGTGTGGTATTTTAATGTTTCTGTAGCGCTCTCTTAACAACTTAAGAGATGGAAAAAATATGACTAAAAATTTTTAAAGAAACCCTGATCCGTTGTTTGATATTTGACAATTTCAACAACAATAGAACAAGTAGAGCAGATCAGGACCCCATCTCTTGGGGACACTCTGAAGTGAATTTGGTTAAATTTATAACAAGCATAAAGAGAGAAACGGTTGAAAAGCACCCATCAAAAGAGCACCTGTCCATCCTGAGCTAGATGGTGATGCAGCAGTTGTGAATGTGGTTGCTGGTGAGGCAGGATGTGGAGGAATGGGGCAGGTGCATAGCCTCCAGGAGCCGCTCCAGGGTTTAGTGGCCCTGGACCCCCCAGCGCTGACGGCAAGCTGAACGGAGGAGGGGTCCCTGCATGGAAAGCCTGCTTATCGAAAGACTGTAGGCAGATTAGGAAACAACATTATGAATTAGTTTAAAATGTAAATGTGGTGAAGGGATTCAAAGTTTAAGGGGTCTGACCTGGGTCTTATTGTAAACACTTCCACTGATGTCTGGCACTCCGGAGTTACTGGATGTCACTGAGACGCCTGGAGGAAACACAGCAGAGGCATTCGCATGGAAAGACTTAAAACCTAAAGAGGTTTTGAGAAGAATTTTTCCTCTTACCTTTCCCAGGCCCTGCAGCAGCAGATTTGGCTTGTGCCTGTGAAGAGGAGTTGTAACCTTTGCTGTACTCCACACCTGCTGGCCCGGCTGTCAGCTCCTCATAACCTGTAAAAAAACAATCACAGTGAAAAAAAATAAAAATAAAAAATTCCTGTAAAAGAGAACTGCTGCTAAAATGAACATGAACCTGAGCTGAAGGTGTGCTGGCCGTAACCACTGGGCTGCTGCTGCGCCTGCTGCTGGAAGGGACTGGCAGAGGGGTTTCCCAGACCGAGGCTCATGCTGTGTTGCTTCGCTGAAGCCGGTCCTGGGCCTCCAGGCGGAACGAACATGGTGGGGCCATACTGGAAAGCAGCCGCACTGGGCACTGCCGGGTAGTAGGGCAGGCCTGTGTAGCTGTAGCCTGGTGGCAGAAAGGCCTGCTGACTGCTGTGGTGCTGCGGCTGGGCCTGGGGTTGGGCCTGGGGAGGCTGAGGCTGAGCCTGGCTCGGTCCTTGGCTTTGGGCCTGGGGAGGCTGGGGGGCTGCCAGGCTGGTGGGGGGCGCTGGGGAGGTGGAGTCATTCCTTGGAAACTTTGTGACGTCACCTGACCATGGTGGTGTGATGTCATGTGAGAACACATGTCGGTTTGCACGATTATGGAGGAAAATAACAGAACCGTGAGGTGCTTCACCTGAATAAGGGTTGTTGGTTAGACTCCCCTCTCTGCCAGAGAGAGCTGCTGTGGGTCCAGGGAATGTGATTCCATAGTAATCCTGTAAAGAGGGCTGGAGGAGAAGAAGAGCAACAAAGCTGCATGTTACTATTATATAGCGGTAATTTGAAGGTTTTCTTTTAAACTGGGCTTTTTGATAGCAATTGTGAGTGAAAATTGTCTGTTTTGTACTTTCACTATCTAGGACTCCTCAAACTACTATTATAACAGGATATCTTGACTAAAGATATTACTGATAGTGCTGATCTTTATAAGCTATGGTTGTTAAAAAGTTATAAGCAATTATAACCTTAAAGCTTCTGCTAACAACAGTTTTAATGATCCTCCCGTCTGGGAGATGAACTTAAAAAGGATTTCAAGTTCATGCAACCATTTTTTTTAAAGCTACAGTGTGTAATTTTCAGCGACATCTAACGTCCAGACTGCAGACCGCAGCAACATGAACATCTCCCCCCCACCGCTTCTCCCCCCCAACAGTACGGCGAGCGTTAGGGGACAAAATGTCTTCCACGACGTCCGCATCACCTACCTTCTCAAGTGATGAGGTTTGTTTACATAGATAATTTTACAGATAGTATTTCATTAGTCTGTGTAGGGTATAGATTTCAGTACCGTCTCAGTTCATCTCTCTCAACTTGCCGTAGTTACTTTCAAGCGTAATGGGCGATCTCGCAATCGCTAGTTTGTTGGCTCTGCGCTGCCGTAGCGCAAAGATGTCTGCCTCCATGGCTGCGAGACCCGCTCCTATGTAATTATAAATAACGAATTCTAAGGCAACGCAAATGTTAAGGTTAAGAGGCTGAGCTCGTAGATGATGATAAATAACATAGTTATGTATAATATATCACATTTCTGACTGTATATCCCTGTAATTATTACACACTGTAGCTTTAATTCTAGCTAAAAAAATAATAATTAAAAAAAAAAAGTACTCAAAATAATCAATACTAATAATGTTTTTTGTTATCACTGTTTGTTTTTAAACACAAGCCATCTCTTTAATATGTGTATCTCCTCACCATTGGCAGTCTAGACTGAAGCATATGAAGGTCTTCATAGCCATAAATCTGCTGTTAGAAAGAAGAAAAAAAACGTAAATTTAAACAATCAACAGAATACAGAAAAACTTGGAAGTATAAATCATTTCAAATTAAGGTTTTAAAAGCACACAATTACAGATCAAACAGTTGAACAGTGGTTGCGTTTCCATTAATCATCAAAACGCTCATAATGTATTTATGAAAAATAAATTTGTTAAATGGAATCACTGCAATTTCAGGAAAAAAACAACTCCTTTTTCAATAAATTCTTTACACTGGTGGTTTTCTGGTGAAATCAAAATTATTATATTTTATAAAACTGCAATGAAAACACTTTTCCCCCATGATCTGCAACTGGGCCTTACTGTACTGTAAAAAGTCGAAGAAGATGATGACAGTGCTCAGTGCTACTATTAGGCTGTAAGATATTGTGAAAACTATTAATCGCATTACAATATACTGTTGAATATTACAACAAAGACAATGGAAATAACCCATGTTCTTGTACATCATGACAATCAGGGTTCCTACAGCATAAGGCAAGTTAAATTCAAGACTTTTTAATGCAACTTGAAACAAAAATTTAAGACCAAATTCACAAGAAACACAACATAACCACTGCACTAAAGTTTAAAATTTTGAAAAGCTTCCCATACAGGAAGAAAGCTAAAAACACACAAATGACAGATATATTTTAACAATTATTTAACTGAATTCACAAACTTTGTTTTAGCAGGGAACAAAACAAATCAGTTTTAAAGCCTCAACATAACCAGTGCTAAGTCTTTTTTGCAGCTATTTTTCTTTGTATCGTTTTCTTAGTATGTTTGATTTGGTGATAAGTGGAGGCATTGCAGGGAGAAGCGTGGAACAAAACTAAGAAATACCGGCTGTTTCTCTGTAACTCGATTTTGACGCTTTGTGTTTCGCGCTCCACTGCCTTAGTTCCCATTGTTCCAAGCTTAAATGACTTCTTGCATAAAATACACAGGGCCGGATCTATCAAAGGTTTGCGTGTATAAAAACGTGAGCTATTTCACTGCGCACGCTAAAAAATGTACAAACTGATCTATCAACGTGCTAAAAGGATTTGGTCTTTAAAACGTGCTAAATAGCGCCTCTTATCCATTTAGTACTTTTTCTGCAATGAATATGCAATATGGGGCGTTACATGCGTCTTGTGGGAGGAGAACATGTAAATATATTAATTTAGCACTCGCAAAGTGATTTATCAAACCTGAAAGCAATTTTGCTATCGGTATCTGACTCTATTTTTAACACGTTTCAAAAGAAGGTGCAAATGGTCTGTATGCGTAATTGCGCACACATGGCAGCGGTTATTGTCGCAAGAAGGAGACATCGAAATGAAGCAAGGAGACGCAGAGAACGCATTTTTTCACTACGTGTGAATATTTTTGGAATGAACGAGGAAACGATCATCAAAACATATCGTTTATCCAGCATTGCCATTTTGGAGCTGCAATTCCAGTGATTTGCTCCTCCCAGAGCGTCAGCTGTACTTGTTCCTCAATGCTGGTCAGAGGCATCTCATCTACTGTGCCCCCTCCTCTTTTGTTCGCAGATGTTTTGTTATATGCCAGTTTTTCTTTGGTTCGCCTTCTAATATCCTGGTATCTTCCTTTTACTTCATCCACTGTTCGCAAGGTTTCACCAACAGCGTTTACTTTATTACAGATTTTGTTCACATATAGCGTTCCTCTGTGTGACAGTCACACTTCTTTGCTGTAGCTCACTTAAATGTTTGTTGGCTTCATCCACCAACACCTCCATTTCCATGGGGTCGAATTTCCTTTTGCGCTTTCTGCTGTCCAAACTCGCCATGCCGCAAAAAGCGCAAATCCATCATTTAAATAGGGCGTCTCCACCAGTTTTGCACCTGCCACCAGTTACGCAATCGCTCTTGTTAAATCACCCGCAAACCATGGTTCAGCCCCTCGCGCAAAATTCCAGTTTGCGAGCGCAAATTACTGCACGCAAAATTGGATCTTGATAAATCCGGCCCACAGTGCCTAATATATGTTCCCTGGATTTAGCCATGGAGAAAACTCTTGGCTGGAGCCAATTTTCGTTACATTTACACTTGCTCATATTTTCCAGATAAAAAGTAAATGGCCCATCCTTCAAATGTCCCGGCCACAACAACGCTTTTATTGGTTCCGCTATCGGGACGGAACCAATAATGGGGAGCCATTCTTTTTTTTTTTTTTTTTTTTATATAATAAACAAAAATTTGTCAATTTTAACGTTTTATTTAGATTACAAAAATAAATCGTAATAAAAATAATCCAATTTATGATGTTTAAGACCTACGAAAGACTGATTTAAGACATTTAAATCGGGGGGGGGCAGACGCTCCTCTGGCTGTGATTGGTTGTTTTGACTCGTCCCGAATTATTCTTTCCAGATTGAAATACAGGCAGTAGGCGGGACCAATTGAAGCAGTTTTTTTCACAGGTTACATATCACATGTACTGCTGTCTGGGCATAGGGACAGTTTTAGCCAATATGCCAAAAAATGATTTTTAAAAACTTACAGACTTCAGCTTTAAGACTTTTTAAGGACCCGCGGGAACCCTGACAATGTCTTAAACTTAACATTGCGGTCGAGAAGATTTTTAACCCAAGAAATCTGATGGACGAAAAAAAGCTGCCTAATATCAGCGAAAATATCAGGGCCCCTGATATGCTAATATCAATGGCCTTTAAGATATGTTTGGGATCATTTTCAAATTGTGAGTCTCTGAGGTCATGGTGTTCTTTATAAAGTACGTTATCCTTTGCCTACCCTCAGGCATAGCTGCATCTTTAAAAGTTGAACAGGAAGAGCGTCATAATCTTAAGTTGTGATTTCTCATAGCATCTGCTACTTAGGATATTTTTTAGTTGTCGGCTAAAACATAAATCTTGCTAGGCGGGACCTAGATGTATCTTCGCCCAATCAGCTTTGGAAGTTGTCCTTAATGTCCCTCCTTTCCCCCCGAACAGATCAGGTAAGAGAAGCCAGAGCTTAAAGGAAAATTCCGGTTTTTAACACTTTTAGCCCCTTTTCTGTAGTGTCCAGGATGAAATCGAATGATCGACACCAAAATTTTGACGATTGGTCCTGTCTCTGCTATTTGGCACATGCAAAATCCCCCCCTGGCTGCTTCAGAATGGCTTTCATAGTGCATGTCCGATAATGTCCTTAAAACAACCTTAAACGTTCTTTTTTTTAAATATGCTACTCACCGGGTCGTCAGCGCTGTTCAATGACGTTCCAAAAAAAGTTTTGTGAAGAAAAACCGTTCTTGTCTTGTTTTATTTTGCATTTTGTAAATCCCAGAACTATTTTTTCTGATACATCACAACCGCTTATAAACTTCCGCTTCCCGTTCGAATCTGAAGCGTTGCACACTCCAGACCACTAGTTGGCGACAATGTTTGTACCGTCAAACTCAAAGTCCAATATGTCCTCCTCAAGAATCCACCTTTCGTATTCCATTTTCAGAGTTTTTTAAAGTGTGTAACAGAGACGTTAGCACCTCGACGTCGGAGTACACAGAGTGAAGCAGAAACACTTGGGCCTTGCGAAAAGACTACAACTAATGGTAAACAGGTCCCCTTTCCGTTTCCGGTGGCGGAGGGATATTGACTATTCCAACAGAACTCAATGGGATTTACAAAATGCTAAATAAAACACTACAGGAACGTTTTTTCTTTACGAAACTTGTTTTTGAACGTCATTGAACAGCGTTGACGACTCGGTGAGTAGCATATTTTAAAAAAAGAACGTTTAAGGTTGTTTTAAGGACATTATCGGACATGCACTATGAAAGCCGTTCTGAAGCAGCCAGGGGGGGATTCTAAATGAGCCAAATAGCAGAGACAGGACCAATCGTCAAAATTTTGGTGTCGATCATTCGATTTCATCCTGGACACTACAGAAAAGGGGCTAAAAGTGTTAAAAACCAGAATTTTCCTTTAATATTTTGTAGAACTACACTAAGTGCTACACATCGTCAGTCTGGCTTCCCGGGTTACCAAAGAACTGCTTTGGCTTTTTTATATAGCTGTGAGTAAACTATGCTTTTGGTTCAAATGGGATGTAGATCTTTAATTTCAAGCAAGTGGCTCTTCAGTTTTTATTGTTTGGTTTACTAAGGAAACAGAAACCTTTGACACCAAATCTTCCTGCAGGCATTTTCCAGTCAGTTAATCGTATTTCAGGAATCTGGTCACATTTGATAGCTTCCACTTTGAATATTCAAACCACAAGCCTTCAAAGTATGGCCCTAGTGGTCACTTACAAATCCACCTACCGGATAAGCGGGTAGCAGGCCCCCTGGTCCCATTATATACTGGTTTGGTAGTAGAGGAGGTACTCCCTGGGAAAGGTTAGGAGGAGTTTTTCCTGTTAACACAAGTAGAGAAATGTCATCTTGATGAGCTGATTGTATTTCGAAAGGACTCTTGATCAAACATTCTGACTGCTTCAGGTGTATCTGTGTACCAGTGGAGGAGAGCAGCGCCGCAGCCCTCGGAGCAGAGAGGTTGGACGTGGCGGTAGCTCCATTGGAGCCGAGACCCAGCGCCGTGCTGGTGGCCATGGCGACGGCCGAGTGGAATCCACTGGTGCCGCTGATGCCTCCAACCGTGCTGCTCAGGTTGCTGCCCATACCGGGCATGTTGGCCAGGTGACTGATGCTGCTACTGTTGCTGCTGTTGTGGGTTGAGTGGAGGGAGGAGTTTGTGGGCTGCGAGGATGTGTAGGAGCTTGACGAAGGAGTGAGGGAGCTCACGTTGCTGCTGTCCACACTCGTGTACTGTTTGCCATTAAAACACAAGCGACATTAAAGTGAGACAGAAATCCTGCCGTCGGAATCTAATAGATTTAATTTTAATTGACGTCTGATGCCCTGTTTGCTGACTTTTTCCATGTTATAGTTTATGAGTTTTGCAGAATTTAAAATGTTAAAGTAAAATATCCCAACAGGCCTGAAATGAGGAAATTGGAAAAAGCAAAAAATGGATGGTGGAAGGAGGGACGTTTAAATAACAGAATGTAGGTATGTATCAAGAAATTGATGAATAGATAAAAAAAGATGGAAGGATGCTTGAGAAAATGATAGATTGACCAGTGGATGGCAAAAGGAGAACTGGTTGGATGGGAAAAAAAAAAAAAAATGATTTGACTTAAGGCCTGAAGTCTGGAAAAAAAACCCATAAAATTCAAGACTATAAACCTCTTTTTGTGTTAGGATCCAGACGTGGAAATTATCTGAATCAGTTTCAAACAAGGTCACTGCTCTGACCCTCTTCCACAGACTGAAGAGTCGCTGCTGCCAAAAGGTACTTACAGTGAGAGAGCTTGATCCCAGAGCGGAAACCGAGGAATGGCTGCTGACATGGCTGTGGAGCAGAGAGGAAATTTCAATTTGAGACCCAACATCAACTATCAGGGTGCATTTATGCAAGCTCAGTCAAAATCAAAGACACACACAAAAAAACTAATTTCAGGAGAACTCTAGTGATAAAGTAAATATTTCAGGTGAGACTTGATCAACCTGTTGAGCGAGTTCAGTTGGTTAGCTGACGGCAAGTCCTGTGCCAGACTGCAGAGGGTGGTGGTGCTGTGTGCAGGAAGGGTGGGGGTTAAGTGGGAGGAGCCTGCTGAAGGACCGTTGCTGTTTATGTTCACAGACGGCGATTCTGGTTTCGGTGTGGAAGAAGCAGATGAAACTGAAAAAAAGACGAGAAATAACATGAATTCAGCTCGAATCATTGGTTAATAGTTCCACTGATAATAAATACACTTCTCTAAAAATACTGATAAAGGGCAATGGTAGGTAACTCACCATCTATAGAAGCTGAGGTTCTGACACCATTCAATCCATTCTGATAAAAATAGAAGAAAAATAATTATTTTAGATTAGATGCTGCTTAAAGGAAGCTAAGAACCAAAAAGATAAATAAGCCTGCTTACCATCACTGGCCCCGCTGGCTCCTTGCTCTGGGAAAAAGCAAGCCGTGTGTGAGGGGGGGCCATTGTACCTTCGTAACTCCCCCCTACTGAGGAGAAGTGGGAGGAGGTGGAGGGTGCAGAGGATGAGGTGGTTGAGGTTGCTGAGGTGGACGAAGGAGCGTTAGCGGAGCTGTTTGTTCCTAAAGACGACGTGAGGCTGGACATGGCCGCGCTGGAGGAGTGATACACCGGTTCAGACGAGGAGAGGGGCAAAGGGAGGGAGACTGACAGAGAGCTGCCCAGCGACTCACTGAAAAACACACAAACACATGTTAGACCGCTCCTAAGAGAGGGGAAAGAAATAGATATGCTAATGTACAGCTAAAATAAACAAGTCTTTGGGAAGTAACTATATCCTTTTGTCCTAATTCCTGGCTTGTTCTATTTTTTGGTCATTTTTCCTGCCAGATCCAATAATTTTTTTCTACCTTAGGTTTCACATTAAAAATGAAAAATTACACACATTTCTTTCAAAGACTAGCTTTGCGTTCAATAACCCCCTTTGGGAGATGATCCTAATTTAGAGGGCAATGAAATTCAAGCTGTGAAAATAATAGTGAATAATCATGTTTTACAACAAACAATGAAAATGTAATAAATCAAATATTTGCAGCTGATGGTATCATGCAGTTAGCTACTTTAACAGTTATAGATACACATCTAAGAACAAAAAGACATGAACTGATGTCAGCCTGAGCTATGGAAGCCCAAGAAATACATTGGTGTTAAAAAAAAAATGCTGATTTTCCAAACATTCAGTCCTCATAAACAGACAATTTGATTAATTGATGATGAAATTGTATGATGAAACCAGATTGGTTGGCCAAAAATTCAAAACGCAAGATAATAAAACCAAAACATTGCTTAGAGAAAGTACAGAAAACTAAGTTCATTCCATCCTGGTAGTTTAACAGCCTTAAACTACCTATTAGAGCTCTAGATTCCCAATCTTTAAAAAGTCTGATATGCCAACTTTGACAGATACAGATCTCTTTTTATAACCAACACTGTCACTTGATATAAGATCACAAGATATTTCAATCTTATCTTACTAAAAAAAACAGTCACTGCCTGTAAAATTATAAAACCTTTGAACTGCCCTCAAATATAATAAGAAATTTAAGGTATTGACAATGGGTGATTTTCAGATCTTTACAGAAGTAGATCAGAGGAAAAGATTGGCTTCACATCCAAGTATCAGACACAAGGGTATCGCCGATCTTGGAAAATTATAAAAAATTGTAACTGATAAATCGGTCCCTATTCTGACATGTTTTATTGCATATTTGAAACGAGTCACTGCCATTCCAGTTATGTTGTAATTTGTTAAAAATTGTTCTCAGTTAGAGCCTGTTAGTCTGAGCTACAATAAAACTAATGAATATTAAGAAATCAAATGTCATGTCTTGCATTGATTCTAAACATTTTCTTAAACTGTCATGAATTATTGAGCAGTGAGAATACCTGAGAGGTTTGGAGTACAGGCTTGTGTGGCTTTGGGTCCCTGGTCCTGATGCAGGTGGTGCTGGGGCAGGAGCTGGCGTTGACTCCCGGGACACTGCACTCACACAGTTGTCCACAACCCCAAACTCTGGCAGCGCAGACTCTGAGCCAAAGTCCAGAGCCCCAAACTGGAGGTTTAGCCCCGGGACATCAGCTGAACCTGGCATTTCCACCGCTGTGGATGGGATCTGCCGCAGAGGAGGGAACAGAATTCTACACATCATGACCTCCTTTCAGCTTTTAAAGTAGACCCGTCTCTCTCAGGGCGTCGGTCATCCTAACCTTTGATGTAGGAGGTATCCGTCGTTTCGGGCCCTTGAGCTGGGCCCGTTGTTGCTGTGGCGTACTGCTGCCATGAGGGTCCAGCCCTGGACTAGGAGCAGCAGGTTTAGCACCAGCAGCAGCCATCACTGGGCTGACCTGTGCTGGTGTGCCAATGTGCTGGGGAGCAGGTGAGGCTGAAGTAGGGGGTGCTTGCTGCTGTAACGGCGGGCTGGGATGACGTGCCAGAGGCAAGGAGGGGCCGCTGTGCCTCTGAACCAGCTGGCTCAGTACCAGGGAAGGCTCTGGCTGCAGCCCAAATTCACCTGCAACAAAAGGAAGGAATTACAATGAACCACCTCTGACCCAGTGACTGTTCAAGATAAGCACCGCCATAAATCCTGCAAGGATGAGAAGCCACTAGCAGTGGATGAACATTTGGAGCAGCGTTGGGGCCACAGAGAGGTCTAAAGCACTTACGGCTGAATTGTGAGGACAAGGAGGTGGTGTTTGACTCTGAGGCCTTCATGTCCCAGCTGGAGGAAGAAGGCGGAGGTACAGACGCTTCCAGACCTGGTAGGCGACCAATGGAGGTGTTGTTTCCTTGAGTGCTGACAGGAGGGGCAGCCTGTGAGGAGGGCAGCTGGCCCAAACCAGGACCCTTAAGTTGTTCCAGGATCTGAGCACCAGCGCTCGGCTGAGACCTCTTAGCCTGGCCCAAGTCCCCAAAACCAGCTCCCAAAACTGACGACTATATAAAAACGGATAGAGAAGCGATTCATTGCGCATTTGTTTTCCCCTTGATTGCAAAAAAAACAAAAAAAAACCAACAACAACAACACAATGTTCTTTTACCAGAGCAGCGTGGGCGTAGCTTGTGCTACTGGTCGTGTTTCGGCTGGGAGGCAGTTGCTGATGATGGTGGGAGTTGGTGAACACCAGACTCTGTGAGGAAGAAGAGGAAGGCGGCTCTCTTCCTCCTACTGCAGGCTTTTGCAGCAAAGAAGCAAGATCTAGGCTAACAGGCAGAAGATTGAATATTTACATTAAAAGTCAAACTTCTAGAAAGCATTAGGAAAGCAAAAAAAAAAAAAAGCACACATTCAGCTTTCTAAATCTATGTGGATGAAAACAAAAAGCTCAAGATATACACTATAAACACAAACTCTTAAATGTTTGTACACAGGTTCAAGTGAATTCCCGTCTAATCTATGATTTTATAATTAAAAGTTTCCTTTTAACTGACTCTGGCGCTCCTTCAGAGTTACAGCAGCCAGTTATTCAATTGATGCTCTTTTTGCTGCTAAGCAGAGCTGTGATCTTGATGTCCTTATGTTAAAAAAATCTTCCAGGGTTTTATGTTGTGTTCTTTGTTTTTTCAGGAGATTTTTCTCCATTAACTCTGACAGAGTAATTTAGACTAGCTTGAATCATACAGAGATTGAATTAGATAGAAAGCATCTTCTCACAGATAAGGTTCTGTTACTTTAAATTCTACTGAGCGGTTTAAGAGCAAAAGGAATGGAATAGAGATAGATCCAAACCTTTTTACAGTTACAAAAAAACTAACAAATATTTAAGAGTTATGACTGTACTTACCTTTGTCCAGGGGTGATATGGTTCTCAGCAGCAGGGGCACTGGACGAGGTGAACACCTTAGTCTCAGCCAGCTGCATTGACAGATACAAAAATTTTAAATCAACCCATCTCTATTTCTCTAGATCTATTTTCTTTCTCTTCTACTCACACTGACGTCTTCATTCCATTCCTCAGCCCCCCAGTCCTCCATGGTGTTCCTCCAGGCAACTAATGGAACACACACATAATGTTCTTCATCAGTAACAGTTTGCAGTGAAATGGCCGTGTTATGGGATGTGAGTAGCAGCTCCCACTCTCTGTGGGGCTCACCTGTCCCATCGGTGCCGCTGCTGCTGTTGTTGGTTGTGTCCCAAACCTCAGCCTGTGTGGTCCCAGTCCCAGCTTCTGAGGTATAGTCGGCAGGGTTGAAGGTCCTAATGAGGACACAGAAAGATGAACCAAGTCTGACGAAGGTTAAAGGTCTTCTTGGTTCATTCTTTTCCAGATCTCGCAGGTATAACTTCTCAAGCAAAGCCCCTATTAGATGAGAAACGACCATCTGTGCCAATGGGCATTACGTGAAAAAACAAAAACAGAAAAAAAACAAAAACAAACAAAAAAAGGTATATATTTACATGGCAGAGAGACACTCATTTTTGGAGAAGTAAACCAAAAGATGACATAAATAACACAAGTCTGAAACTATTTCTTTAAATGTAGTTGTGTTTTTCCAGCATACCCCATGCCCTGTGGTGAGAACCTGCTCCCAGCTGGTCCTCTTCCTCGACCCCGACCTGCTGACCCTGCAAAATAAAAAAAAATTAAAAAGCATCAAACCCACTTATCAAATACTTATAAACCAACAGGTCTGCATTTCCATCCTCCTACCTCTGCTTCCCCTGGCCCTGCGACCTCGATCCGAACCTTTATCCGCAGGTGGCGCCTCCACCCCGTTCTCTTCTGGACGCGCTGTTCACAATCGCATCAATGATTAATAATAATTAACATCATGAAACTAAAATATCTTAAACAGATTTAAGTTCTGCACAAGGGTCTGGCTCCTCACCCTGCCGATTCCGACTTGCCCCCTTGCCTTTGCGGTTGGCAGAGGCACGGCCTTTGCTGGCCTCCCTTTCCCCTTTCTTCTCTCGATTCTCCTTGTTCTCCTTGCTTTCTGATGGGCCCTCCTTCACTAGAGGCTTTTTCTTCCCCACCGTCTCCCATGAGGTCTAAAAGCCATCAGAGGAACTGATTATAGAAGAACTGAATAATCATATTGATCTTTTGCCTCAGAAAACAGCATTTCACCAACTGTTATAAATGCAGCTTCCTGGATCACTGCCATTCTATGCCTCCATGACTGCTGCCTAGGGCAAACACTTGTGAAACATGTGCCAATGTGTTTCCTGGACATTTCATTGGACAGCTTTGCTGCCAGACCATAAGAGTGAGAAGAATGTGAACAATGACATGCATGTCTTCATGCATGCCATCAATCCCCCTTGGCTTCAAGGGTTTATTTGTCTGTTGGACAAAGGACATCTCAAACTGTTTTTTTCAGAAAATTACAACATAAAAACCTTTGTTTGCATTAAGATACACTGGAATTCCCAGTAATATAAATTTTTAATCTAGTGACATTGCCAGTAAAGCATTACATATTTTATTGTTTTCATTTCTTTAGATGCTTTTCTATGATCACTAGTCAGCTGCGTTCTTTGTTTAACAGTCACATACACATTGTGACTATTTGATGTGTGAACCTGTAAATAAAACTACGAATCAATACCTGCAGCAACAAAGGACTGTTTAAAAAGTGCAGAATAAGATAGGCTTTTAGGTTTTCAGTGACGTACATTAACGGTCTTTATGTGTGGAGGGAAAACAAAGAAAACAAAGATGGAGAGAATGTAATGCATTTAAATAAAGATTGTAGTTAGATTGTATTTAATTAAATTCTAAGTTAATCTAATATTGTGTAGCAACAATTAACACGTACCAGAATCGGAAAATCTTGCCAATTAAAACCTGTAATGATGTCATTGTAACCGGGTTAGGGCAAATGGGAGAACTAGTGACTGGTTAGCTCTGTTTTTAAGAGCAAAAACAGCCATTTGTTGCCAAAATAACCAGAACTATCTTAACACCAATTCAACTAGTCTTACATTTACAGTAAATACATATTGTTTAATAATATTAACTAAAATAAAAGCTTTAATTTCATAGAAAAACAAGAAAACTTACAGATCTGGGGCTAGTGGAAAGCTAATTTAGCTGTGGAATAACAAAGTGGGTTTTTGAATTTTTTTTATGTTTGATTAATTTTTTGACTAATGAGACAATTTTTTGCAGCTGTAAACATTTCAGCTTCTTTTCTAAGCAAAAAGGATTAATGATAAACTTCAAGCAACGCATGATGTCCAGTCAGATACAGTGCACTGCGACTTCTAAATTCAGAACATTTTCACAGCTGTCCCTCATATCAGCCACTAATATCTAGACTATATCTGAAGCGATTGTGTCGCAGCAATAAACCGCACAGTCTGGTATCTTCCCTGTTTGAGGTGATAAGGGATAATATTCACATTTGATCTGATCCACTTCATAGAGTGTAAAGAACAAAAATCCAAGAAGAACCTTTGAAATCACAGCATTTTCCAGCCGTATGAAACCAAATTGATCAAGTAAGCAGGAAATATTAAGAATTCTTGTTGTAGGTTTGATGAGTTAAATAATAAACTCTCTTAAGGCTTGTTTTCAGCTAATTACTATAGAAGTTAATGCAGCTCTAGTTTGGCACTGGACTTCATTTATTGCATACAGCAGAGAACAGTTTAAAAAATGAAAGGCTCTCAGCGTTGCTTTAACTGTACTCAACAGTTCACTGAGGTTAGCTCCACTTTGGAAACATGACGAAAAGAAGACAAACAGAAAACAATTTTGTTAGGTTGTTAATATAAACTTAAATATAGATGCCAGAAATTGGAATTTATGTCAACGGTTTTATTACTACTGTCCACTCTACTCACAGATATTTGGAGCCTTTATTCAGTTAAAATGAAACATTGTTTAATGAGGATACTTAGTCATAAACTTTAGTAGTAACTAGGGCTGCAACAACGAATCGATAAAATCGATAAAAATCGACTTTTAAAAGCGTTGGCAACGAATTTCATCATCGATTAGTTGTGTCGCGCGATTATTGCGTCATCCGCCGCGCCGTCATCAGTGCCTCTTGACTGAAAGAGGAAGAAAAAAAAATATGGCAGAGCGAGTCAGCGCCGCAGGTGCAGTGTTGCCAACTCAGCGACTTTTCAGACCCCTCCAGTGACTATTTTTCAAAAAAGCGACTAGCGACAAATCTGGCGACTTTTTTCGGTGTCACTGGCAGCTTTTAGAGACTCTTACGTGAAAGCATGTATCGTTCCTACTCTGCCGTGGGGCGCCTCCCCCACCCCAAACCGCGTTTTCCCGCAGGAGTCCCTCTCAGAGCTGCAGTCAGAGCCTCAGCGTCCAGACTGCAAATGAAGCGCGCATGCACCGGGATTGACGGCGCAAATTGATCACAATAATTAAAATAGCCTGCACTTTGTAAAGCGAAAAAAGTGATAACATGCAACTTTTTTCAAAAGAAATTAACATGGCACGGAACCACCATGTTTGTTTGGTTTTAAAGTGGGGAAACGTTACGTTAGTTTCTCAGGTAGCTCATCTGATGCTTTCCTTACCTTTTTAGTAGGTTACAGACAGTGATAAGGTTGGCTACTTATTTTACTTTTAATTTCATTTGAATTAGCTTAAGCAGCATTTACATTTACTTTAAAAGTCTTGCCCTCATAATTTGCAAGTTAATTTATTTATAAAGTTTAAATCTTCTGGCAAAGATAAAGTAAAGAAGATCCTGCAATTTATGGAAGTAAAGCAGAATAAAATCCAGCAAGATCAGTAATATGTCAATTAATTATATGCCACATTCCCATGTAAATATCTGTCTTTGGAGGATGTGTTTTTTAGCACCCCTAGTTCTCTCATTTTTATTCCAAATACAATTTATAATTTGAATCACAGGGCTATTTTTATCTCTATGGTTCAGTATTTTCTCAAGTAGCAACTTTAACTGCTGTACTTTCCTGTCTTAAAAGGCAGAACTCTTCTAGTCTAAAAAAACTCATTTGTTGAAATGGGGGGGCCTATTGTTTGAACCCCTTAGGGGCTTTAAAAACAAAAATGTCTTTTTTTGCGCTTTATGAAACAAAGTAGCCTATATTTTGTGGATGTACAGCCACATTTCTCATGTAAGTTTGCGTAGTTTTAACACAAACATTTATTTTTCATATTGCACCAGTACAGTTAATGAGCAACCTGTACTTGTGTGCTTGTTTATTCTGTCTAAAATGTTTATTTTGGAATAAAGAGGTTAATATAAAAAATATTTTTTGTCCGATTCATCGATTAATCGAAAAAATAATCGTCCGATTCATCGATTTTTAAAATAATCGTTAGTTGCAGCCCTAGTAGTAACACTGAATGAGCCGATCCTTATAATTAGATGGAACAAGCTGTCGTTTACCATGTCCGAAGGGCTCTCCAGGAGGAAATTGATGGCTCTGCTAACATCCTCATTGCAGTCATGTAGCGCCACCATGCATTCATCCTGGTTCTTCCCAGTCACCTCCATCAACTGGAAAAAAAGGAACAATATACACAGAATGAGTGAATGCTTTTGTCGAAGCCAACATTTACGTTAGGTGAGGTATTAGATATTTATTAATGATGTAATAAAACACTTAAATATATTGTATCTGTAATTCATTCTCTTTGGAAAAAACAAATATGTAAAAGTCTCAAAATATACCATTAGATACTATATAAACAAAACAAAAAAATGCGTTGTTTGGGAGGTCTGCTTGGAAAAAGCTTTTCTGTCTAAAAATCATTAACTAAAATATCCGGGTGCCGCACAATAGCAGCCCACTGTTCTCCAAAGGGATGGGTTAAATGCAGAAGGGTACATTTGGTTGCTCTGTACTTGTGACAGTGTAATGACAATAAACTTGAATTATTAACTATTCTATTCTGCTCGGACACCAAAACTGAACTTTTCAGCACCTAAAACCTGGATGCTTGAGTATAAAACTAAGGATAAACATATGGAAGCCATCACTGATTATGAGAGTTCATTTCTCTTCCTAAGGCCTCATGGATCTTTTTCGGGGCAAACACTTAAAAGTCCAATTAAATTCAAAAATATTTTTTTGATCCCAAAGGGGGGAATAAATAAACTATTTAAACATTCCTGCTAAAATGCTGAAATACAAAGTAATAAACACTAGATGTGGCAACAACTGTCCCCAATTAAAGAATCAATCACAATAAATTGTAGATTTAGTTTTAATTTCTTTTCAGTGTTTCACTACACAGCTGGCATTATTTGTTTTAAGCATTTTTGATAGGGGGTGTCAATAGCTGTGGTGGGCACTACCTTTGCTTCTCAAACCACCAAGTGTCTGAGTGTTTCACACCTGGTTAACTTTGTCCTCAAAGTCAGCATCATTCTTGTCGTAGATCATCTGAGCCAACCGGATCTGCTCAGCAGTAGCCTGTTTCAAAGACACAGACATTAAAGGAGGGAGGGGGATGTGTGTGGACGACTCAGTATGTTTGTGACATTTATTAGATTCGCTTAAGGAAAATTAAAGACAATACATAAAAAATAAACCCTTCTTTTAAGTCCATTAAGTGTGTTTACTGTGCAAATGCAATCAAACCAAAACAGGCCAGGTTGGTCAGGCCCATTTCTATTTCTATTTCACCCAACCGTCTCCCGAGCTCAGAGGAGAGTGTTTCTACGAGCTTTTCTATGTTGGCATTTCGGGATTCTCACCTGTATTTGCTTCTGTGGTTGTGAAGTGTGAGTGACAGCTGGCAGCGCTTTTTCCCGAGGACCCCGGGCCTTGTCGCTGCCCAGCGAGCTCATCATATACAGTATATACAAAACTCTGTATGTACAAAATAGAAAAAAACCTGCAAAAAGTAAAGTAAAATCAGATAAGAGAATTACTTCCATCAAGGCAGCTAATCAATACACTGCCCACAATTAACACCTTCAACAGCTTCAACTTTCCCCTTGTTTAAAGGCAGTAAGCATCCAACTCCAGAGGATGCTTTCAGCACAGTAGAGCCTCACTCCCAAATAATGAATCGCAGCCTTGTGGAGGCTGTAAGACGCACAGTTGGCCTGGTGACGCAACAGCTTTGCAGAAAATCTGGGTCAAGGAGGAAGAACGACCCAGTGTCCTTTGACAAACACCCCAGTCTACAGCATCAATGCAGAACAAACAGAACACATCCCAGAGCATATATCCTGCCTCACTGCTAAATAAGAAGTTTTGTTAAGTTTCAAACACTAAAAATAAATGATCAGTATTATCTGTATTCAACATAAAGATTCTGTCAGAAGCTTTGCAGACGGCTACATCTTTGGTATGGTCCTCTAACGTACCACTGCTATAATTTTCATGCATTTCAGAGTAGTGCCGATTTTATGATTGATCACCCATGATTGGTGATCAGGGAAAAAAAACTTAAGGCAGAAGGATAGGGAAATCAGACGAAAAAAAGCAGAATGTGACAAAAAAAGTTATTCAGTTTTATCTTTTTAAAGAAAAAGGTTTCCCGTCTTAAATGCAAAATGTAGATCTTTTTTAAGTTTCTGCTTAACTGTGATTCTGGTTTGTTTTTTTCTCTCATAAAATCTATTGTTTTGAAGTCTGTATACCCTAGTTTAAGATTAAACAATTACTAAATAAATCATGGATTGTTTAATGTTTTAAAATAGAAATAATCTGATTGTTTTAAAATCTTTGTGTAAGGGTCCACTTTTCTTTAAGAAATGCAGATTATTGATAACGCAAAGCACGTTATTACTAATATAAGTACTAAAGACATTTTAAAATGTCGACTAATTATCTATATTGTTTTAAAATCATAAAACCTTGTTTATAGCAGGACAGACGTGTGACAGCACCTTGAACTGAAAGCCTAGTTACGGCTCTTTGCACCTGCAATAAATTAATAAATAAATGTGACACATAGCAGTACATCTTTTTGTCTGATGGATCTTACATTGAACACATCTGTTAGGCATACTAACCCTAAACTTTAAAAAGAGAGAAAACATATACACATTATATATATATATATATGTAGTGTGGACGAAGATTAAAATATGCTGTGTTTATTTTTCACAGATATATCTGTAACATCAGCTGAAGGATCTTATTGCATGCAACTACAAAAAAAAGTATGTCCTGTAAATCTGGGCTGCTTCTGGGACACTGCTTAATTTGCAATAAATAATTTGATATTAAACACAGTTTCAGTGTATCCAGAAAGCATTAAAGGGGAGAATTTACATAAAATATATATATATTCTGGTAATATAGTCAAGATATGGGAGATCGGTCATAAAATCCTGGATCAATGCACCATGGAAAAATGTATACAGCTATTTAAACTGAAAACAACAATAAGTTCAGATTTCCCCACTGACCCATTTGTTTTGTGTCAGAGAACAATGGCAGCCCAGCTATACGAGCTCTATGTGACGCTGGACAACACAAAGCTTTCCATTGGCTGCTCCACTGAACAAAGCTAAAACAAGCATTTCATAATATACCTGCAGACTTGTATTATTTACATAAAATAACTAATATTTTACCATCAGCAATGCACTCAGAAAAGCAAGGAAACTGCAATATGTCGGAGAAAAAAATAAATCAATGCCTTTTCTTTTAAATATGAGATTAAATATCCGCGCTGACTAAAAACATCCAAGAAAAATGTATGAACCTGCACAGCAAAATGTATTATTTTTGATCAAACCTGAAAGCTTTATCAGATTATATATATAAAATCAACTCTGTGGTATTTGGAGTTGCTTCAAGTCAATGGTGATATTAGCTCGCTGTTATCGCGTTAGTTGTTCCCAAACGCTTAAATGTGAGATAAATTATGTTTATCCCACCGGAAGAAATTATTTAGCGACTTTATTATCAGTTTGACACAGGTCGACTTTTGTGTTGTTGATACTAGCGTCCCCTTTGTCCTCGCTAGCTTTACGTTAGCCGCTTCATGCTACCGTTGACACTAGCATCGATGCTATCTAAATCTGCTCCAAAGCGCAGAGGCCATAGAACTACTGTTTTAATAAGGCAGCTGCTATTCAACGACACACAAAGGTGGTTTTAAAATGCGTTCACTATATGGTCAGACTGACGTCTAAAGCAACCAACAACAAAGGTGTATCAAAAAGAAGAGGGGGAAAAAAGAAAAGGCCTCGCTAAGCACAATCCCATCCCGACATTACTCGATGGGATTCAAGACAACAGAAAAAAATGAGCGAAGGGGCATCTTTAAAAGGAGCGTTCATAGCGAGAAAGGGAGCCAAATGTTCGATGGTCCAATGAACGAGCAATTGAGTTAAAGGTCTACTAAATGGGGGAATGTTAACCGTAGCTTTAACAGGATGAAGAAAATGTGTTTTTATTACCTGCTAACACGCTTCCCTCGGCCAGCAGCAGACAGTGTGGTCACGTGACACGCGTTGCCGCGGTGGATGCTCCTCACTGCTCTGCTGCCTTCCACCGACAAGCATCACGAAGCTATTTAGCTTTTTTGGCCCTAATATGTAAAAGTCACAATATATGTCTATGTGAATGCACTGTATATAGCCTACTGTATATATCTTATCCTTTTTCTTCCTTTGGCACATTCTTCTTCTCCTTTGTCTATTTGACCTGATGTAACCAGTAAATTTCTCCAATGTGAGATCAATAAAGTGAATCAATTAATCAATAAATTGTGTTTCCACCTGTGAAGAGCTGGCTCAACAGTGGCAGCAGAAAACCTACAGAGCTGAGTGGAGAATATTTGTAATCAGAGTTTGAATTTTCAAGGTTTCTAGTTAAAGCACTAAAACCTCCTCAAAGATGATGTTGACTTGAGAAGTCAATGGTCTGACTCTGGAAGCAGCCATTAGTTTAAAATCCAACATGAGTCATACATGAGGCACAGAATAGAAGCCAGCTCTTTCCATGAAAGCCACTAAGTAGATTCCATAGAAAGGAGGGACCTGTTTTCTCTAAATAATTGTTCTGCTTATACAAACGGGTAAGATTAGACTCAATGATCAGGTGTTTAGTGATTTTATCCAATACACCAGAATTGGTTTGGTGCTCTGTATGTGAAGGTATGAGTGTTGCCAAAAATGGTGACATTGTCTCTCTATGATAAAAAGAAATGGGTCTTTAATGAGTGAGCAATAATTTTTACTATATTTAAGTGAGTCACAAAGCCAACGTTGCAGATCCTGATTGAAAAGATGGAAACTGGGATCCTATCTTCATATGACTGAAGCCTAAAACTTTCTGTAACTTCTAAATCACTTGAAGACAATTGTAAAAAGCATTCAATTGCTCTAAAGGACAAATCAGTTATGGCCTCTTCTATCAGCACATATAAATATGAGAAATTAATTTAGTACAAAAAAAAGTTAAAGTTTAAGTGTATTTGGAATCAATTAGATCAGGTAATTATGATCATCTGCCAAAGGACTGAGTATTTTTCCTCTTTTACTAAGATAGATTATGGGATTTGAAATACGTTGAGATTTTTTTATTCGTAAATGTTCTTCTTTCTTTGTCAAATTGTCTAATGATACATTATTTGCTCAAATCAATGAATATATTTCAAGAAAAAAATGGCTTATGTTTAAATTTTTGCAGTGTGTTTTCAGTACAGGGGCTAGGACCAATGTTATGTGGCACTGGCCCGTGTCAAGAACTAACCAATCCCATAAGGGTAAAACATAAAACCACAACTATGTTATTTATTCATCATCACTGATCGGTACTTTTTGTTTCATGTTAAAAAAAAAAAAGCATAGAGATGATCTAGCATCAAAAATTTGCCTTATTTAACATTTAAATGGGATTTTATTGTGGAATCTGACCACAGCTTTAGGAGCCCCTGAACCAAAACATGGATAACATTTCTGCTCTAATCATCTTCATCACTAGAAAAAAACAAAACAAGCCAACAAACAAATACATTAATATACATTTTATTGTGTTATTTACTCCTCTTTAAAGAATTTGATTCCTGACCCCCCCAAGGTGTAAGTTATCAGTCATTGGTAAAAACATTCATGAGGCTTGTACATATACATATATATATATATATATATATATAAAAGTGTCATCAAGAAGACAGATCGATCCACACAATTTCTTTGACATTCACAGAAAATGTATGCGACTGTCCTTAATGTATTTTACAAACACACATGTACACATTTGTATATATATATATATATATAAAATACACTTTAAAGTGTTGGTTGTTAAGGTAATATTCAGAATTGTTTTGCTTCATGTAGAAAAGGAAACCAATAATTAATTCTGTGGCAGTCTTTCACAGAAAGACCCGAGGAAGGCAAATACGAAGCTGAAGCCCACCCTGATTCTACATATAATACGGGGGAACACAGCCACTCCCTGGTGGTGGGAAAGGATGAGCGGCTATGGGGAAAGGTATGTATGTGCCTGAAGAATTCACTCTGTCCAAAAACTTCTACAGATCATCTCTGTTCCTGATGGATCATCATATCTGATATGTTATGAAAGCTATCCTCAAATGGAATAATCAAATAAACAATCCTAAATGAGTAAATGAAGGTAAAATAGCATAAAATATAGATCCAGATAAAGTAAATTAGATCATCAGGATTGTTTCAGATTACAGTGGAGAAAGAAATTAAATGCATTACGTCGGAGCATCAATACTGCAATGATCAATTAGTGATCAATTAACTTTTTCCCCTCTTTAAAATCCCAAACCAAAATTCAAACGGACAAGATCCAGTTCTTCGTTTGACGTCTGAAAGCAGAGGAAAGAAGTTCTTTGCGATTGTTGATCCTTCTTAGATTTCAAACTGCACTCCCACTCAGCCCATCTACATGAATGGCATCTTTCATTATTGCTCTCCATTAATGCTAACAAACAAAAACAAACGATGTATGAATTCTACTTTTCTTTGTTTGTGTTTTTCTTGTCTTTTTTTTTTTTTTTTTTTTACAAAGTCACTCAGAGAAAGCAGCAATTAATACTATCCTTGAGTAAAAAAATAAGCAAGCCAAAGACCACAGCGTAATCCCTGCAGGTTGGATGCAGATGTATAAACGATGTTAAAATGAATACTTTTATTTTCAAAATCTGAGTTTCTCAGTGGCAGACTTTGTAGCTCTTTAAATTATTAGGTAATTTAACATTTCTATATACATATCTATCCACATATATATCTATATATAGATATATATATAAAAAGGGAGGGAGGGGGGATAAAATGTGACAAGGTATCATTACAGGGAAGATAAGCAAAATAAAAGTGGAAACAATTATACACAGCAACAATATTAACTTATGAAACACCATGCTCCTGAGTCCAAATGTGAAAAACAGATCATCTGATGAACATGGATAGTGAAAATAATACGAATGAACTCGTGGAGGGAGGACAATGAAGAGACTTCTGTCACATATTAGAATGTGGTGAAGGAGGCGAATGAGGAGGAGGAAGAGGCTAGCTCCAAAGTCCTGCGTAGTTTCCATGCAGGCCAGAGCAGAGCGGCCCACCTGCTACGAACAGCTTGGTACCAGAGTCGTCGTAACAGTGGGTGTACACAGCGTTGGGGAAGGAATTAATGTCAGAGAAGTAACTCCTCCATGTTTCATCGTGATTCTGAAAGCAACACAAACCGGGAGGACGAGAGAAGGAGAGAAATAAGATTTTTTCTTTTTTTCTTTACATTTTGTTTTGCTATGGAAAAAAACAATTAAAAAAATCTAAAAATAAAATTCTTACCAGCCAGCCTTTCCCTGTGGTTAGTTTAAGAATGCCATCTGTGGGACACTTCCGATATCCGCTGGATGGATTAAAAGGGTTTTCTAGGAACCTATGAGCCCGGATGTCGTAGAAGAGAAGAGAACCCTGGCCAGTACCCACAGTCACAATGTGCTCATAGAAACTCACAGATCGGATTCCTGCATAAAGACAAAGCTAAGCATTAGTGAAAGGCAGCAAAAGTCTTTGGAACAAGACATGTAGAGAAAACTGTGACCGAGTGATGGAAGGCTTAGATCTGACCAGATTTTATCCTATTGGTCTTAGGTGAGCAGCATTTAAAATTTCTATTCCCGCTATGGAGAAATTCTTATCCTACTTATGTTACAGAATGGTCCAGTCATAGTAGAAAAGCTGGAACAGACAAAGCCAAAAACAGTGGCACTTGGGATTTTTATCTCTGCAAAGTGCTTTGAGATGACATGCATTTTGAACGGGTGCTATATAAATAAACAGAATTGAATTTTACAAATTTTTAACCCAGGGAGGCAAAATATAAATGCAGGACACATTTTTATGATATTAGTTGTATCTTTTGTCTATTTTAAAACTCTAAACTAATTTATGTTGACCCTCAACATAAAGTCCAGATGAAACATGTTGAAATAACAGTTTGAATACTTCTTCAAGGCACTTGAAAGAAATACTTCAGAGCACCAAACCTTTGTTTTTTATATTTAAACAATATGAAGTACAATATTTTGATTAAGCATTCAAGATTGCCATAAATCCACATCTTTAAAATGAAAAAAACAGTTCTTTACAGAGTATTAAATACTTGAATATCAGTAAAAGTATGATTTTGCATCTTCTAATTCTGCCACAGCTCACTTACCACTTCCTCTCTCTCTAGAACTAACAGACTTGATGTTGTGCGTAGGCTGGCGTGGATCCAGAAAGGAAACATGGGCCTGAGAGCCCACGGCGTACACGGACCAGTCCTGCCCATATGCTAAGCACACATTCTCTTTGCAGTGAGGCAGCTTGGTGGACAGTATCTAGAGAGAGGATGGAAAACAGCAAGAATTTCAACACTAAAAAAAGAAATCCATCCAGCAACATCTGTTACTGATGCTCCATAAATGTAGAGAGCGAGTATAGAAAATAAAGACATGAGGAAATCATCTTACTACACAGGTGTGCAAACTTATGCTTCAAATTACAGAACAGAGCAAATGATTGAATCAGCATGTTTACCTTGCACAAGTTATGCTCTGCTTTCCAGAGATGAAAATAACCATCCAAGGACACGGCACCCAGCTCCTAAAATGGAAAAACAACACAGGAAGGCAAGACATAAATAACTAGGATAGGAGGGAACAGAAACCTAAAGGAAGAGAGGTACCACTTCCCACAGACTTAAAGTTCTTGATGTTTCCATGGATGTTTTGTGTTCCAGTTTATAAAAAAAATAAAACCTAGTGTTGTGCTGATATTACCCCACAGCGAGATGAAGAAGACAGAGAATCATCTACTACTGAAAATGTGAAATAGAGAGTGCTGAATCAGAAATAGTTTTTTTTTCTCCTGAAGGGAAAACTTTCTTAAAAGACTTATTATTGATTTCTCTCATTTAATATACACCAAAAACAAGATATAAAAAAACTGACAGCTCTACAAATTTCCACCGTGCCGTCTCTGTGGCATAGAAAGAAGCCCTAGTTTTCTCCAGGTTTATGGAGCTTGTAATTCCAATGTTTACAAATCCATTCAACCCACCCACATCTTTTGCACAGCCACTGTACCCTTACATGAATAAAACATACTGAGAATTTTGCTTAAAACTTTTTCAATATCAGCTTTGTAACCCTGTACCTGCTCCCGAGAGAGAACACCTATTAAACACATGTAGGAGTGTGCATAAGCCCATTTCTCCTCGTGCACGCCGTTTAAAAGTTGCTGTTCTCATAGCTCATACAAGCTTACTGTGTCCGAACGTCTGCCCTAAACCCTAAATCACTGAGAAAGGTGAGCTTCAATGACTCTCTGAAACTGTAGCTCACCACAGATATACGAATGAGAGTGCGCATGCGCAGAAAAGCTAACGGGACAAGCACATAGGACGACCTTATGTAAACATATCACCAGATTGATTGACAATTATTCAGATGATCCAACCTGAAATAAAAGATCATTCTCTATACCTTTAAGCTGTTTTATGAAGATATTTGGCTATAAGTGTTATGAATGATCTTTTAAAGCTCCAAGTGTTTGATCTTATTTCATCTGGGCTCCTGAGAACATAAAAAAAGTAAGCACCCAGAGGGGTCTTACTTTGTGACTGTTGTTGAAGGCCAGAGCTCGAACTTTGCAGTTATATGGGTTGGTATACTCCTTGGGAATGTCCTTCAGGGCACGGTGGGAGATGTGGACATAAGAGGGCACTGTGTCGTCCCCCGGACTCTTGGATTGATTGATAACCTTCTCTGTGATCTCCCACAGGCCCATGGAGCCATCTCTTGACCCTGCAATTGAAAGCGAGAACAGCAGATTATGAGATAGCAGAGAGTAGTTTTTTTTAAGTGGTTACCACAGCAGCTTGGAATGAGAGAGCTTGTCCCTGCTAGCTTTACTGACGGCCCAGGGTTCACACACGCTCACTCACCAGAGACAGCCATGGAGTCACTGATCCATGCTATGGAGAAAATCCAGTCATTGTGGCCATCCTGGAAAACAAGACAATTATTCATGTAACTTTTGTACTTTTTAACTCAAAATGAAGCTTGAAATAGTATTAATCATTGATGTGCTAAATTCCTACATTCTTCTATGAGCAGAAAACTCTACATCGGAGTTAAAAGCTTTATCAAACTGTAATTGTATGTAGATGTCAAAACAGGTTCTGAAACATCAAGTTATCATTGTCACTTTTTCCGCTCAATGCAACGGGGAATGACGAGATAAAAAAAAAAAAAAGAAATAAAAAAAAGAAGGCATCTCAAATAAGATGGTGTTTTTTTTTACAATTGTTATAGTTTTTCCCATAGCAATGTAGCCACAAGGTTTACATCCTGGACCTGTGTGATGCCTTTACTAATAACAACAAAAATCCCAAATTTGTCCAGCAGAAAATCTTCTAATTATCAGCCCATTTTAATTATTTTCTTTATTTTCATTTAGAATTTACATAAACTGTAGGTTGGGTGACCTGTTTTTGCATTTGCAATAGAACCTCAATTTAATAACATACAATTTTTAAATTGCAGATCACTCAATTTAACTCGAGATTAAAACCCTAAATTTCTTACTCCAACTGTTTAAGTAGCAATAAAAAGCTTAAAGCGGGTTCGCCATCACACAGAAAAGTCAAGAGAGTGGCAGTTACCACGCAGATTCATGCATGGAAGTAGAAATAAGCACTTTTCACACAAAGGTTACACTAAAATCCTGAAACAATGGAGTCCTTTCAAAAACTAAAAGCCTGTGGTCAAACGTCTACAAGCTTGGGGTTAGTGCAAAGGTCAATCGCAATAAAAATCGCAATATTGGTGAAAACTATTTGTAATGATGACTTTTTTTTTGTAAAATTGGTCAGCCGGTCATAGCACTGAAACATCAATTATTTCACCAAGTTTCTGAATGAGACCTTCCCGCAGTTGCCCTTGAATCAATCTCTAAGAGCTTCAGAGGTAACTGCACCGAGCCGAATGTGCCTGAAACAAAGGGGTAGAATATTCCACTGTGTTCCTCACAATAGACAGCAAAAAAGGTGCAGACTGTACAGTTTAATGGGTCATTTTGTTATTATCTCTTTAACTGTTAAGACAGCTGTGTTCCAGAGAATATGGGACTTTGCAGTCATCTTTGCTTGAGTTTTAGATGAGGCAAAAAAAAAAAAAAGGGTTAAGTATTAGCTGGAGAAAAATTTTTGACCCACAGTCCGGGCAGAGCCAACATGCAAAGCAAAAAAAATAAAACTGATTTGTCTCTAATGCACACATAAAAATATAAACTTTCATTTGAAAAGAACAAACATTTTCTCAAACAGCTAACCTGTATTTTTTGAGTTCAAAGGTGAAGCTAGTGTCTCTCATTTAATGTTGCTCCCTTTGAGACTCTTTAGATCAGAGGTCTTCAACAGGGGGTCCGCCACCCCTAGGGGGTCCGCGGAGGTACTGCATGGGGGTCGCAAAAGTCTTGGTTGATTACTTTTTTTTAGATTCCCTTCTGCAATTTTTTGCACTAATTAAAATGTCTTTAAATCCACATTAACATGAATTCAACACACTGTAGTAAACAGATAAATGGAGGCAGAAGATGTCTTTCAGTCATCAACACACACATTCAGTGACACAAAGGAGGTCTTTCAAACCTGGGCACCGTTTCATTCACAACACCTGTCCCATCAACCAGGAATCAGAATCAGAAATACTTTAATAATCCCAGGGAGAAATTACTTTCGTTACATTACTCCATATGTAATAGAGTGACTATAGGACCAGTTTGATATAACACAATTTCATACAATATATATAATTAGGGGGTCCCCGCTCCATCTCGCAATCAGTTTGGGGGTCCTTGGCCTCGAAAACTTTGAAGAACCCTGCTTTAGATCAAACCTATATTGTCTTGTCACCTACTTTCTTTAATATTCAATACTGGCATAGATTAAAAACACAGTAATTCTAGGGTTTATACAGGAATGAGTAACTCTAATTTAATGCATTTTAATGCTCTTTTAATGCCAACAACAAGTACCCATGACTCTCCACTTTTGTTGATATTTGCATTTTCCTATTCTCTCATTTTTTTCTCCACCTCAAGCTTCTTTTCCGAACTTACGGCTTTACGATCAACCCGAAGCAGTTCTGCGCAAACATATTGCGAGATAATATATCTGAGAAAATTGTTTTAATAAATATATTTTTATTTTAAATGAAGAATTTTAAAAGTCACAATAATCACATTTAATGAATTTTAATTTCCAATTAAAGCCTTAATTTAAAAAATAATAATTTAATGACTTTTAATGATTTTCAATGACCCGCGGAAACCCCCTAATTCATATTTGTGTAGTTGTGTTTCTTCTTTTTTAACTGAAACATAAATCTGTAAATAAGACATTATAATCAACCAATTTCCTCCTGAAATGCCTTTAAAATAACTGACTACAGACGTTAATTAAATAAGTAAAATCCAAAAGTTTCACGCAGCACTGATAAATCCATCAGCTGAAAAATGGAGAAGAGCATGCCAGATATTAACGTACAATAATCTGCTGGGAAATGAGAAAGTGAAAAAAGCAGCCGAAGGCCAATGGAAGCTAAAGGGGCAGCAGAAATCCAGAAGCAGATAGGACAGTAATTACTTGTAGCCTCCATAGATCTAGCCTTCTTAGAGGAGTGGTGAGAAGATTGTCATTGTTGAATAAGGTTCCCAGAAATTTGGTTTGCAGTTTTTCACAAACGGACATGGGACCCAGCAAAACAGAGAGCACACCAAAGCCTTGTTGATACACAGCAAAGGAAGCACCATGTTTAACAGAAGCTGTTAAGGATTGATGTGAAGTCAGATTAGTGCCAAAAACAAGGGCATTCATGGAAGAAGAACCTGTTAGAGGCAACAAAGGACTAAACAATAGGTCTGCTAAGTAATACCTTAATTCAACAAGCAAAGAAAATAAAGAAAAAGGATATTTGCTGTCTCGTTCCGGATCTTTGCACCAACCCAATCCCCCCTATTTTATTATGGAGTTATGCACACTCATTTCCTTTTATATTCACAGTTTTGCCTTAGTAACAAGAAAAACACTGTAAAATGTTAGAACTCTTTTTTTTTCAATCAATAAAGACATTCCTGACTTCTGCTTTAATTTGCCATCTTAAAGCTACAGTGTGTAATTTTCAGCGACATCTAGCGGTCAGACTGCAGACTGCAGCAACATGAACGTCTCCCCCCCACCGCTTCTCCCCCCCAACAGTACGGCGAGCGTTACGGGACAAAATGTCTTCCACGACGTCCGCATCACCTACCTTCTCAAGTGATGAGGTTTGTTTACATAGATAATTTTACAGATAGTATTTCATTAGTCTGTGTAGGGTATAGATTTCATGTAGACTTAAGATAATAAATATACCCGTTATTTTTCTACGTCGTTGTGACGTTTTGGTGAGCTGCTTTGCATGGTGATATAAACAGACGAAGTAATTGTAGTCATTAGTTTAACAGCGAGATTGTGTTCGCTGGAAGAATATATATTCCCCGTTTACAGAGTCCAAGTCTTGTTTGTGGCACGGGGGTTACAAGGCAAGGAAGAGGGAAAGGAAGAGGGCAGAGAGGCCGGGGTGAGCGTGCAGCTGGGGCCAGGCGAGAGAGGGGAGCCAGCGGGGTGAGAGCAGAGGAGGAAAGGCTTGAAGATCTCCAAAGGAGCCGGAGAGAAGTAACCGAGGTATATATCCAGAAAATTATTTTACAGAAAAGTACTGAATCATTACCTGTGAAACGTCAGGGACGTTGCTGAATAAGTATACTGGAGAGTAACAGCATCATCACGCAGCATGTTATTGTTTTAGACAGGTCTGAGCATCCTGTACTCCAAAAACTGCAGTGATATTAGACAATTGTGTGTATAGGATTAATTACCTGTCCAAGAGAAAACTGGCAACTTGAGCGTCACTTTGAAAACCTTTTTCCTCCATCAGTGACTTCCATCGTGTAAATGCCGTGCCAATGTTGATCCGTGTTTTTTGTCGTTTCTTGTCACTCTTGCGTTTATTCTCGTCGTGTTTCCGCTTCTTAGATGACAGGGGTTCGGTGTCCGCCGCTTTTCGTTGTGATACAGAGTAGGCATGATCCTCCATTCGTCTGATGTATGGCCACACAGTGCCAAACAGTTTGCAAAGTCACTCACGCCTGCCGCCTTGTTTACCTTTCTTGTTACCGAGGCGCAGTATACCTGCTTCTTCTTCTTCTTTGGTTTCAGGCAGACTAAACGCTTCTCAGGCATAATACTGCCATCTACTGTTCAGTACCGTCTCAGTTCATCTCTCTCAACTTGCCGTAGTTATTTTCGAGCGTCATGGGAGATCTCGCAATCGCTAGTTTGTTGCCTCTGCGCTGCCGTAGCGCAAAGATGTCAGCCTCCATGGCTGCGAGACCCGCTCCTATGTAATTATAAATAACGAATTCTAAGGCAACGCAAATGTTATGGTTAAAAGGCTGAGCTCATAGGTGATGATAAATAACATAGTTATGTATAATATATTAAATTTCTGAATTTATATGCCTGTAATTATTACACACTGTAGCTTTAAATAAATGGGTTCATCCAATTCGGTTTTTTAGTTTAAGTCTTTTTTTTTTGCCTATTTGCAATTGAATAAAACCAAAAGCAGAACATGACTGATAAAATGTGTTTTGTCCCTTATTTTTGAATTTTCCTGCATTGTTGATTTTAATTTGCATGGGTCTGAGCTGGAAAACCTTTTTATGTCATGTTTGAATCACGATCAAGGACCACCTGATATCACTCAGAGGTGCAGCAAATGGTCCCCAGACCACACTTTGGACAGAAATTTGTTGGTCTATAGATGCTCTAAATCCACTAGGTACTAAATTTCAGAGTATAAATATGTAAAGTTTGTAGTGATGTACCCTAAAAGATTTTTTAAGGCTCTAGAGGCATTTTTTTTTTTTTTTTATTTCTCTAAAGTAGGCAGACCATAAATTGGATCAGAGATCAGTTGTGTTGAGGACCAAAGCCCCTGTACATGGGCCACAAGTTTAACCCCTGCACCACCATCACACTCTTATCAAAACATTATAACTGTAGTTGGAACAAAAATAAAGGCTCGTACAAATTACTGGTTCGGGATGCTTATGCAGGCTACATTTTCTTTTTTTTGTTTGTTTAAAAAACAAAACAAAAAACAAAGCCATTTTTCTTTCTTCTGCTTGATGACGATGATCTTCATCCTTATGTTGCCACATCAGACAGTTAATGAGTTCATATGATGGAAATACCTGGCAAGCTCTACGATTCAGTTTTTAATAGGGATGCACGATATCGGGATTTTGGCCGATATCCGATATGCCGATATTTTAAAACTCATGTAGCCGATAACTGATATCGATACTGATGTTAAAGCTGGACAAAAATAAGTAGTCATTGAAAATAGCAGTTTTGTTATCCATTTCTGACAGTTTGAAAAATAATATACTCAAATATATTTTCATATGCTGATATCAAATAGATTTTTAAAACCGCGATATCGATCCATTTTACTTTCAAAATCTCGTGTAAATTTCATTGTTCTGTTACAAACTCTCGCGATATTTTGCAAATTCTTGTGAGATTTTGTTAGTAAAATAGATCGACACCGCGTCAATATATCAACATATACAAATATGGCAAAATTTCGTGAATTTTCGGGGGATTTCGTAGCATAACGACGACATATAGCAATATTTCATTAGTAAAAGAGATTGATATGGTGTTTTTAAAAGGCAATATATCAGCATATGAAGATAGTGATATTTTAATGTATCAATATTTTTTCCCTCGTCTTTAGAAGTTTTTAAGTCTGTAAAAAAGAAGCTTTTGAGGAAGAAGAAGAAGTAGTATTTATTTCTTTTTTTTTTTGACTTTAGAAACTCAGAAGCTGATCAAATATCGAGTTAAATATCGGTGGGGTGGCAGATGTCCGATATTCAGTTTTAAGGTCGATACAGGCCGATACCGATAGGGGGCCGATTATATCGTGCATCCCTAGTTTTTAAGTTATGTTTCTGTGTCAGTTGAGTACCAGTCTGCTGGTAAAAAAAACTGGTTACAATTTGTAAGGGGGATTTTACTATTTTAGATGGAGGGCAAAGAATGTTCCACAGGGAGGGGATGTTATCCTAATTTAGAGTCAACTGTAGGGATGCACGATATAATCGGCCCCCTATTGGTATCGGCCTTAAAAGTGAATATCGGACATCGGCCACCCCACCGATATTTAACCCGATATTTGATCAGCTTCTGAGTTTCTAAAGTCTAGAAAAATAAATAAATAAATACTACTTCTTCTTCAAAAACTTCTTTTTTTACAGACTTATAAACTTCTAAAGACGAGGGGAAAAATATTGATACATTAAAATATCACAATATATGCTGATATATTGCCATTTAAAAACACCATATCAATCTCTTTTACTAATGAAATATTGCTATATCATCGTTATGCTATGAAAATTCACGAAATTTTGCCATATTTTTATATGTTGATATATTGACGCGGCATCGATCTATTTAACTAACAAAATCTCACAAGAATTTGCAAAATATCACGAGAGTTTGTAACAGAACGATGAAATTTCACGAGATTTTGAAAGTAAAATAGATCGATATCGCGTTTTTAAAAATCTATTTGATATAAGCATATGAAAATATATTTGAGTATATTATTTTTCTAAGTGTCAGAAATGGATAACAGAACTGCTATTTTCAATGACTACTTATTTTTGTCCAGCTTTAACATCAGTATTGATATCGGTTATCGGCTACATGAGTTTTAAAATATCGGAATATCGGATATCGGCCAAAATCCCAATGTCGTGCATCCCTAGTAAACTGGTTATAATGCTGTAATAACTACTGTATGGTGACATACCTGTTCATAAAAGATCTGACTAGCACTAAACTAAAACTATTTCTTTTTCTAGTTATCCTGAAAAAAATTTGGGCAGGTTTATGCAATTTGAAAATATTGCACTTTTAACTGTCCATAGATATCCATATGTGGACAGACTGACCCATGAGCTAAAATGGTGCAGTGGCATTTTTTCTGCAAACATCACAAAGGGTAGACTGAGTAGAATTAGTCTTAATGTTCAACATTAAAAACGATGTGACTTCACTTCACATTTGATCATTAAAGACATAAATTAATTTAAGATTTATAAATTAGGTTATTAAAGCGTGATGGAGAACTAGCGCCTTGTTTTATCAGTCATGCCGTAAACTAACATGTTGTAACAAGCTGAATTTTTTTTATTTTATATTTATAAGGATCAAAACTAAGGAGATACTTACATCTCCAACACACACAGGGTCCAGTGTTGGCAGCTGGTAGATAGCTAAGCTATTGGGGTTATCTCCTCCAGTGGCAAGCAGAGTTTTTGAGGGATTGAGTTCAATTGCATGTATGCCACAACTTTGCTGGTCCAGCCGGTCATGAGAGCCCCCTGTTGGGAAATAGCGGCGTCCCGTCGTCATAGGGCCTACCATCCCAGGGCCTGCATCACGACACTCCCTGTCCTTCAGCATAGGAATGCGTGTTATTTGTCCTGTCAGGACATCCACGACAAACAGCTGCAAATAAAGAAGAACATCCAATCGGTCAACCCGAGGAACTTTAGAACATCAACAATGACAGACAGCAAAGACTGGGTTATTTTACCGTGTTGCACTTGGTTCCACACACCACCTGCCTATGATTGAGCCACTGTGATGCGAACACCTTGTTTAGTCGTCCCAGAGAAAACTCCTTCTCCTTGAGGATTCCAGGGAGCTTGCCTGCAGCGAAGCCCCGCAGGCTCCGCTGAAGCTGAAGCTCATGCTGCTGCTGGGGTCTGAACTCCCGTCCACGGAGGGCACACACGACAGAGCGCTGGCTGCACTCCCACTCCTGGGCATGCCGCGATGAACAAGAAATACGGATCCGCTTTTGTGGCGCTTGACACCAACCCAGCTGTGGAAAAGGGAAAAGAGAAGTCGAGGAATCTTTTTATAGATAAAAGGAGAGTTCCAGTGCAAACACAATTTTGGCCATTTAAGAAAGGTTAGTTTGCATTTAAAAATAACAATAAAGTGAAACATTTCTAACTGGAAAAAATAAAATAAGTAAATGAGACATTCATACAAGAGAGCCTTCAGAAACCCCTTAAATGGTTATTTTTTCTTTTGGGATCATTTAGGGATTTTTGAATTGAAGAGACATCTAAAAAATGTTATGAACTTTGAAATAGCAGGTCGATTTCCGCTGTAATTAAACAACTGTGCACTATATTTACCAACAAGTAAAGTTAATAGGGTAAATTAAGGGGTACCAGAGTCAAGGGGTTTCACTCATCTATCTTGTAAAGCTTTTCAGACTGCACTACTACGTGTTGGTTTATCAGATGAAATTAAAAAAGGAAAGGAAATTTGAAAATTTTAATTTACATTACAAAGGCACTTAATCTCACTTTATGAGTCAAACACTATTAAAAAAAACATGATTTTTCAAGGTGTATATTTTCTTTCTAAGTGATCCACTTTTTTATCGGATTAGACAGACGCATTTTAGTGCATTATTGATGAAAAAAAAATACAGTTAAGAGGAAATGCAGCATGGCGTTGGTAAACACAGGCTGTAATTAAGCATTTGTCTGGCATTTATGATCTCCTTGTAGATGTTATGGTTATTAGGGAACAATTAAACTGACTAATTAATTACAGTGAGTCACGGTGTAGAAGGTAGCTCGGCTAACCGGATTGACTAACGCTGGCGTTTAGGAAAATGCTTTCCAGTTTAAGATTACAATAGGAATTTCTTCTTTTTTGCGTTGAAATGTTCGTATGAGGTACTCAAGAAAAGGCCATCACTCTTATTATAAGGATATAAAACAAATCAATTGCAAAAAAAACAGCTGTTGAATTTGAATCCTCATCGCAACTGGGCATCTGAGCTAACGTTAGCTTTCCAACGATAACGGATTGTCGTTGGCTAATGTCAAGCTAACATTCTCAAAGGCTACACTCAAATGGATAGATAATGACTCTCTTTATAAAACTCCGTTTTTGTGAGTTCTAGCTAATGTGCATTCAGTATAGCGGTGAAGCAGCTAAATATGACGGGTTATAATAAGGCTTTTATAAGCTAACACTGGCTAGCACATAGAATATTAGCATGCTAATTTTCACAACCGGTTTCCGCCTACCTGTTGTTGGTCCTTCGGCTCTCCTGCCTTCCTTTTCCTGCTAACTGTTTTTCTCGCCATAATCTGACACACACAGTTCCTTCACCCACATGGAGGGTAAAAGAAACACTGGGTACTGGGTCATTCAATGGCGATATTCTATTTTGTTCCTCGGCCCTCGCTGGCTGTGCCCAACGATGAGGTAAGGCGATCACATAAGGGTCAATTCTGTCAGAGCTTTTACGGTAAAGATTATGATAAATATGCAGCTCCGCCTCCTGAACAATATCACCCAGCGTCCGTAGAAATGATCCCGTTTCTGCTTTGTATCGGTTATTCCTGCCAAACGGTGTCAACGGCAATGGCAAGCGTTGGGTATTGCGCAGCCGCACACAAATTCAACATCAACAACAAGGTCGGACGTTGTACGTAATGACATCACTTACGTAATGACGTCACAGTTTCTGGGAGATAAAAGGAAATTCCTATGGGGTTCCATTTGTGTCAAAAATAAGCAGATGTAAAATGTCTAGATGTTGTGCTGTTGTTGCATATGTGTTGTCTGCATATGTATAAGTTGCACCAGTGGCGGCCGGCCCATAGGGGGCGCTGGGGCACCGCCCTCCCTGATAAGAAGAGAGAAACGTAAAATATATTTTTAGAAATTAACTCACAAATGTCAGTTTTACTCTCTAGACTGTGTACCTATAAGCAAAACAAATTATATAAACTACATTTCCCTATCTACTGTCATTAATTTGTGGATTTCCACAGACAGACTCCTACCGTCTCTGTTCTGGGGGCGTTGATCAGACTGACCCACATTTGCAGAGAATCTGTCAATCATGTACTATTGCTAGGTGAATTTAATGGCCAATCAGCGTCTCGGAACTTTATGGTATTGGGGCGCTGAAAATACTGCGCTTTAACAGGCTTCTGAACCCAAGCGCAGGTGCAGACAGTTAGAGGAAGGATGACGAATGTAACGACCGAGATGCAGCTTCCACCAAATTCGGTGAGATCCTTATTTATCTACCCGTTTGCCAGAAGAATATCCCTGTTGTAGGATATGAACATTTCATGTCATGGTTATTGTGACTGTGACGAATCCACCTCGTCGCTTAAAACTACCTCTCTAACTTTGCGCGCCACACACACATTCCTGTTATACTGTGTTTGTGAGGACCAATACACTCGCGCTGAGACCAGTAGCTTCATGAACTTAAAACACACAAGCTGTTCCTGGTTACCTGCTGGCATATTGAGGGTGCACACTTAATATTTCAGTGGGGTTAGCCGTGTGTGTGTGTGTGTGGGGGGGGGGGGGGGGGGGGGGGGGGTGTACGTGTTTATGCTACGGGGACTTGTCATCTTCAGTCTGGCTGCGTCTTTGCTGGGTTCAAACCCAGTTTGGTGTAATTGAATAAGTCAATGAATCTGTGTAAAAGAATTAAGTTGTAAAAATTATTTGTTTTTGTACATCAATTGTTTGTGGAGGTAATATATGGACAAAACTGATTAATGAGAAGAAATCAGAAATAAGAGAGCCTGATGTGAGGGGCTTAAACTATTTAGTGAGGGCTGTGGGAAGAAAAGCGGCAATTTTTGTTTTCTGTTTCTTTGTTACATTGCTGGTAACCGGAGGGAGGCTGAGGCCCAGAGTATCTTGTATGTTTAGTTTCTTTTGCACCCTGTTTTGAGTTTTTGAGCTCAATAAATCACCAACACCGGTAACCCGACTGAGACTGGATTCTTGGAGGCCAAAGAACCCCGTCACAGTGACCCAAATCATCACTGTTACTGTTATTATATAGTAAATTAAATCATTACTGTTAAATTATATATGTATTGTCCAATTGTTTATTTGAATTCTTATTCCGGATTAGTTGGAGACATACACTAGGCTATATCAATTCCGGCTTTCTTAATGATGGGTACACCCTTTATTCATTTTAAAGATGTTTATGTTGTTTTTTATTAGTTTAAACTAATTTATTTTAATTTAACTTAATTTAATTTGCTGAAATGGTTTTTTTTTTGTATTTTATAATATTTTATCATTTATTTTTTTTTAAATAACTAAAATGTTAGAACTCTAAATATCCAGTCATATATCTATATTACTGTTTTTATGTTTTACTGTTTTCAAGGCTGCACTTTAAAAAATTGAATTTGTCTGGAAAGCTGTTCTTAAATAAATTTCTATTTGCTTACATTTGTGTACACAAAATGACAAAATAAATCTGTCTAAGTCTTTTATGCTTAGAGATACAAGATTTAAATTTTTTATGTCACCCTGCTAAGTAGCACACATTTTTTTTCACTTTTATTATATATCCACAATTGTAAGCTCAAAAGTATTTCCTCTTGAGTATTTTTTTTTTCAGCCTTGTGTTTTATTCTCTGGGACATATGCATTTCCCCCACTGTAGGCCACTTTTTTTGACAAACAAAAATCCAATGTTGGGTTGTGCTACTGCATAACCACCACATGTTTACCACCAGAGCAAATATTGTCTCTGCAGGCTATACTCATCAATTAAACGTCATCTATTCCATGTGATGCTGGTGTCAAATCGCTGTTTCAATAAAGCACTAATGCTTCCCCAAGAAATTACCACTCAGGTGGCATACACTTCAATTCAGAAATACTTTACTAATCCTGAACAGAAATTAAATGTTACAGTAACTCATATGTTTTTTTTTTTTTGTTGTTGTTTTTTTTAAGCAGTTGTTGTAGGTGTTGATAGCTGTAGACCAGAGGATCTCCTGTACCGGTCTGTCTTGCACCGGAACTGGAAAAGCCTCTGAGTGAAGACACTATGATGCAATAGACTGGCGACCTGTCCATGATGTACCCCGCCTCTCGCCTATAGACAGCTGGAGATGGACCCCTCGCGACCCCAACTGCGATTAAGCGTGACAGAAAATGGATGGATCAAGACAATCTATTGTTGTTTAAGAATCGCCTAAAGAGGAAGCTCACTGTTGTCCATAATATTCTTCACTTTATAAATAATTTTTCTTTGGGAAATAATCTCCAAATGTTCTGGAGGAGTTCCTAGAACAAAGCTACTCTTCTTTCTTATCTTTGTTGAGCTTTTTTGAATCATTTGCTTTGATGCTGTGACTCTAGCAGATGACGGCAGAAGTGATCACACTCTCCACAGCAGACTTAGAGAAGATATAAAAACACCAAAGGACCTAAGCTTCCTTAGAAAGTACAGTCTGCATCCCTTCTTGCAGATTGTTTCACATTTGTGTCTCCAGTCAAGTTTTTTTTTTTCAGCCAGGTGAACACCAAGGTATTTATACTCCTTCGCCTCCTCCACTACTTTTAAAATATACTTTTTGACATTCAGGATCAGATAATATTATCAGTTAATATGGCCATATTTTATGTGGACAACAAATTTAACAGTGTCTTTTTAATGCCTGAATTAATGCATAAAACAATGTGGTTTCTCAAGCAAAAATGTATTAAATGAGCAAATTTCGAACTGAATAGATAACAAATGAAAAGGCAGCCATTGTCTGTATATTAACTTTAGTCATTTAAAGTCTAAAACATATTTCTCAAAGTTGGACAACAGGCCTTTTTTTTATGATTCTAGTGTCAAAGTCCTGCTTTATGAAAACAAAAGTGGCCTTCTGTAGTCTTCTAATGATGTCTTAAAAATATATATCATCAGTAATAAAAAATAAATAAAAAATTAGTTGGACTGAACTAATGGCTACTGAAACCTTCTTGTTAGCAGATACTGCTTTTCCCAGATTCTTATTTGCAGACAGTTTGCATCTGCTCTTTAGATTGTTTCTGCTGGTCAGCTCTTTACAGTTGGATTTTTTCAGCTATTGAGGACAATAACTAGACACACAATCAACTGTATTGTTGCTGTCTTGTCAGCTAAATTGAAAGGAAAACTTTTAATCTGCATTAATGCAAAACAAAGAGATTTGTTATTATCTGCAAGGTTTATTTTTACATCTTAAACATTCTTAAAACAAAACATGAAGCTTGAGAAAAAAATATAAAAAATAAAGAGCCTCACTCTGTTGAAAAGATGAGCACATTTAATCAGTTGGATTTTTCAAATAATTTAACAGAAAACTGAACATTTTGTTTTCGGAAACACATAAGTGAGTATAGAAAGAAACACTGAGCTCAAAAAGCTCTGGCTTTATCATTAACATATCTCAGATCCTATTTAGATTTGCTTTGTGATGACATGGAAATATAAAAAAAAAATAAAAAATTAACACCTAAAATGTATTTACCAAAACAGAACTCATAAGATCAGAGCACAATCTGGCAAGTGTACGGTCTTGTTTTGTGTCTGTGGTCAAAACAACTTAAGTGTGAAGATAATATCACTTCTGTGTTTCTTAATTCAAATTAAATAGAAAAGGAAGGAGCAGCTGTCAGTCATGTCAAACCTACAGAACTTAAAGTGCTTTCTAGAGGAACTCAAATGAAGTTTCATGATTTCGCAGCGGGGGATTCCAACTAATTATGAGTCTGAAAGGTATTTTATACTCCAATACTTTTTATATCCCAAAAGTACCATTATAAAATGTAATTTCACTGGTGTGTCCTCAAGAAGACAGGTGTTTGAATAAGGCATGGGATGGTTTCCCTTATTGAGATTTACCAGAGTGTCTGAATAGCTCAGGCTTCATAAAGTCAACATCAGTAGTTTGGTGACTGGGGTTGCCCCCGGATATCCAGATAAGGTAAAGTAAATCAGTGCTCCGATAAGCACTGGAAAATTACATTTAGTTATTTATTCGACATTTTTACAAGCTTACAATGCTCGTCAAACATACTCCCCCCCCCCAAAAGACAAGCATCAGCTTAATAAATCCAAAAAGCTGTTTTAATTTATTAGATGAATAAGAGCTATTCAAACCAATACATCCATGTAAAAAAACAAACTGCCCTTTATTTGATACATTTTTTTTTTACCACCTTAAGCAGTAACAACTCAATTTAGTGTTTGCAATGACTGAAAGTGAGTCTCTTACACTGCTGTGGGGGAAGTTTGATCCAATGTTCATGTTCAGTCACCTCTGGTGATTCTTGATGCCACAACAGCATGTTTAAATTGGAGCTTTAACTAGGCCACAAGGGCCCCGCACTATTTGCTGTTCTTTCATCTTGCATGACCTAAGTGTCCCTTTGGCTTCTGGTCACAAACTGATGGGTCAGGCAATCTCTGGGCGGATTTTCAGGTAGAGGTTAAAATAAATTCCTCCTTAAACTGTCCTACGTATCATGAAACTATCACCACTATGCAGGTTTTAGTGTTTGCAGAGGAGAACGTAAGACAATTCTTTAGGATCTTTTTGTCAGCAGTGGTTCTGGCCTTGGATGTCTGCCACTGAGTCACAGTGTCTCTCAAACTACTGAATTAGGAACTGTGATCAGGTGAGGCTTGAAGTACATCAGATCCGATCTTGAGGGCTGGGTGGAAACTTCCTGAATGAGTCATCGATGTCCTCTTACAAAAGTTTTGGTAGGCTAGTCTTTCCAGTGTCGGCCATTTTTGAAAGATGGACTCTCACTGTAGGCCGACATTTCACATTTGTTCTAATTTTGTTCTCTTTGGTCCTACCTCCATTTGATGTATTCTATTAATACGACTCTGATTCTACAGATATGTCCATAGTAAGGTCTGGGTATTGCTAATGAACATAAACCCAGCCACTCTAGATATTTACAGCTGAATCCTTTTATAACAGTGACAGGTTGGTTCGGAAAGCCTTTTTCACCTAAATAAGTCAATATATTAAAATCTATATTTTTTTAAACACCTCTTTTACTGATGTGCATATTTTAGTATTAATGTTAAGTTTATCATACAAATTAATGTTAGACAAATTAAGCAACAATATGAGAAAACTGTTGCTCATCTTTTTTAAATAAAAACAATTCGATTATGTTATACACATGTGCTACCCTTTGTTGTGCGATACGACAGCCTTTTTAGTTTTTAATAGACTCATATTGAGGGAATCTGCTGCCTTATATAGATTAGAGTGCTTGCCTTTGAACAATGGATGATATACTGGGCCCCACTGAGGCACAGAGCCAGTTTTGGGAACCTATTTTTCTTCATTTTAAGGTTTTAATCGCTTATGATGGACTTGATACATCTCACATATCAATAAACTATACCATGTAAATGTAAATCTCAGTCATTCCTGCTGCTACTCAAGTTGAGAAAATATTGTTTCAAAAGCCCATTGTCACTTAGCAATAAAAATTATTTTCTCCTGTTTGATGATCATCCAATCAGAAAAATAAAAAAAAATGTAACTAAAAGCAAAAAAAAATAGACGCCTCATAAATGTTCAAATACATTAGAGGAAAATCAACTTTCCATCCCTCTGGTTTGATAGTAAGGAAGAAAACGACAGAAATCAATAAAATAGAAACTTTTCTTTCAACCGCATATCCAGTAAGGCTTTACAGACCATTCTTTCAACATTTTTGGAGGCTCAAAGTGCAAGTCAACAGTCATAACAAATGAAATGTCTCTATTGCACTATGATTTGGCTGCAAAAAAAAAAGGACCCTCACATCTTTTTGCCTCCATGTTTTCCAGTCTGTAAACGTCACATTTGTACGTTGACATATCTTACATAATCACACCAAACTCTTCATAAATCTTAACTCAAAGTGTCAGTGTAGCATTTTAAATATTAGAATGGTGAAACCTGTTGTATGAGTGACACTGGGGCAATGGATATACTGTACTTGTTTTAGAGCAAAAGATTCCACATTTCCCACTGTATCAAGGTTTTTTTTCCCAGTGAAGGCTGAGGAGCGCAGCAGGGCACTCTTTCACAAACAGAGTTTTTATGACTAATGGTCTATAATCAAATTCCTATAACAGAAATTATATAAATGCAACCTTTAAACTGACAAGAATTGATGGCCAAACTGAACAGAAACAAGTAAGACATGAATGTAAGAAAGCATAAAGAACAGATATAGGTCCAGGGCACAACAGCTCAGAGGGCACTTCTTGAGAGTCAGCTCTGTACGATAATTGTGCCTTTTTTTTTTTCCGTTGAGCTGGTTTAATTCCAAACTGGGCCTTCTCTCGACCTTTTCACACCCATCACCATGTGCGACGCCTGCAACAAGCAGTGGAAGATGGCAGCTTTGTTATTTAAGAGTTTTCTTGAAGTTCCCTCAAGTCTCCCCATGATGTGCACAGAGCCTGCCACTAACTCCTCCCCATTTGCTTTTGCAGCAGGAGGAAGCAAAGAGTAGCATCGAAATGACAGCTCAGTCATCAAAAACTCCAATAACACAGCGGTACCTGAAATCAGCATTTAGTATTGGTACAGGTAAACTCAATCCAATCTAGGCACACAGTTTTCAGAAGTGCTGCAGCATGGTATGTTTTAGCACAGACAGGAATCGCCTCCCAGGTGTCCTTCCCACATCCAAGGCAAAAGGGTAGGGAGTAGTGAGATAAAGTAGGCAGAGGGAAAAGGACTCGAGGATGGGAGCGGTGACAAATGACCAGGGTAAAGCGCTTGCTTGCCCTCTGCCTTGGCTCAGCTTGCGGCGGCGCGCGCCATCAGATCCTCCAGAGCCTTGTCCTGATCGTTGTTGTGTACCAACAGAACCTCTTTGATGGCGTCTCTCTCAAACCCCATTTCACCAAATCTGGACATGAGCTCAAGATACTGCAAGGCCTGAAAACAAAGATGAAATGTTAATGCATCACAGTGTGTTCTATTAGCAGTGAAAAAATTGATTCAGGATTCATTTAAAAAACTAGTTAAATATCAAATCAACAATGTGTTCATCAGATCTTACCAACCTCCTGATGCCTGACTCCGTTAAATGTTAGGATCGGGTGTTACTTTCAAAATATTTGTGCATATTTATGCTAATTTCTCTGAAATGTATGACCTCCCCTTATAAGTATGTAGCCTCATTTTTTAGTTTCTATGTTTGATTTATATATTTTTTTTTAATAAATGTTGTTGGCATTGGCCATGAGCAAGAGCTGAAAACTGGCTTCATATTATATATATATATATATATATATATATATATATATATATATATATATATATATATATATATATATATATATATATATATATATACATATACATACTGACACAATGACAGAAATGTTCATTGATGTGTACATTCCCTTACAAATAAACTAATAAAGAAAGAACTCAAGAAAAGACAAACCTTTTCCTCTGAGCAGTGGTACATCTCTAAACACTCTTCCACAGCACTGGCATCAAAGCCCCTCTCACAGAGACGGCCATGAACATCCAGATAGTCCAATACCTTGGGAAAGAGGAGAGGTAAATGTCAGCAATTGTCTCCAATAAATTACCTTCATCGGTAGCTTCTGTTTGTTTCTCTTTGTGGAAGAAATAAAGTAAAATGTCTTATAAGACATTAGGGAGTTATGGAAATGAAACAGGTGTATAAAAAATGACACCAATGGCCAACAGGCGATGAAGATAAAGATGACTAAATAGAGCAAGAGGGACGGGTTGGCCAATGTAGATGGTGTTTGTGTGACTGATTCTTATATATGCAATCCAGACAGAGAGCTAGTTATGGCACAAAAAGCTAGTTTCTACCTGAAGCTGCGTATGGTTAGCATTGAGATAAAACATCCCAGATATATTAGCATGATTGGTTACAACTGAAATGTGCTTCACTGCCAAATTAAACAGTCATTCATTATTGTCCGATTTGATTCCTACTTTACATTAATTTTCTGCTGATGGTGTTAGCTCTAACTAATATAGTAAACAGTAGATCCAAAGCTAATTACATTTACTCCAAACGAATATCTCATTTATAACTGTAAGGGAAACTTACAGGCAGCGACACAATCTGACATTTTATACATTTGTTTCAGTTCATTAAGTACTTCCCCATCATCAACCCAGGTGAAAAAAATGGCGAACACGAGTAAAAGAATATACAATTTTTATAGTATGTATACGTTTTAACATATCACATAAAACAATTTTTCAGTAAATAGGAAAATTAGATATTTAGGCCACCATTTTCAACTAGTTGTGGATCCCTTCACTGTGATACAACCAATAAGTTTTATAACTAAACAGTCATGTAACTCAAGTAACAGCTAAAAAATCTGCTTTTTATAACAATTTTCGATTGACTGACCGTGTAGCTCCCAGTGAAAAAGAAATGTTAGAGGGGATAATTTCTTTCCCCCCCCCCCAGTGTTTTATTGTCATTACACTGTCACAAATACAGAGCAACAATATTAACTCTCTGCATTTAACCCATCCCCTTGGGAGCAGTGGGCTACATCAAGTAACATGAAGGTCTTGCCTAATGACGAACACTGGCAGCTCATTCCCCCAGCCGGTATACGAACCCAGGTTTCCTGTTTGCAGGACGGGTGACTTACCACTTTTCAAAACAACTGAAAAAGAGTTATGAAAAGATTTTACTTACTTTTTCAGAGAAGATGTGTTTTCTGACTGGCAACAAATAATGATGATCCAGATCATCTTTTTCAAGTAATTTATTAATGATTCTGCCAAAACAGGTATTAACTTAAACTTTAATATGTCAGAGGGGATATTAGCTACTTGGTGGAATCTGTTATCTCCGAGTGCTTTTCTTGTTAGCTGTAGCCGTTATTCAGGGGCTAGCATTGCCTCCAGTAGTTTCAGTGAAAGATTGGTACAATGAATTCTTAATACCAAGAGATTCTGGACTTTGTTCCTTTGTAGGAACAGTTGGAGAAGGAGAGAGATAGCTATTTTTTTCTTCTACACCAGAGTACAAAGCAAGACATAAAGGAGAGAGTTTGGTGTGGATGAGCTTGACTGAGCAGCACTGATTCCTGACCTCAACCTGATAGAACACCTTTGACATGAATTACAGCAAATAATGAGAGCCAGGCCTTCTCCTCCAACATCAGTTTATGACCTTAAAAGTGCTTCTCGAATAATGTTCAGATATTCCCCATTAAACACACTCCCAAACCTGGTAGACAACCTTCCAAGAAAAGCTGATATTTCTGCGCCATCAGTAAGTGTATCTACTGCCTGTCCACATATTTTAGAAGAGAGGCCTGTAGCTCTACACTAGATTCTTTATGCAATGCACTCTTTCTGCACACTGTGATCTTAAGACCAATGTCCTACTTTTCACTTTGTTATTAGTCTGTTTTAAATTATTGCTTTGCATTCATTTCCCTGGTATTTCAAATTAAGTCTATCATCGTTTCCTCGGGGTCTCAGTTGATTTGGTCACATTGTTTTATTGATTTTTTTTTCTATACGCATCCTTCACCACAAAGGAATGTTATTATTTATTTATACCTAAAGGAATTGTATTTCTTTTGCTCTCGTTGAACTGCATTAAATCTTGTGGCTGTGTGTCAATTCAGTCATACAGCACAGTAGTGAAAGAATCAGAGGACGTGAACGTAAATGAAAGAGGTCAACAGCAGGAGTGTATGATCAGAAATTAAGGAGGAAAATTAAAGAAGAAAATGAAGAAAGAAAAACAATACAGTGAATTTTCCTCATTTAATGATAGACTGATGAATCCCAAATACGTAATTTGAAAAATCCTTGGAACAGAGGGATTCATAAGGCTGAAGTTAAAGTTGGTCAGTTGAGATTTTATATACTTAGTGCATCAAATCTGATCTATTCCTTTGTGGTACATCATAAAAAACTTATGGCTAAAGGCTTCACTTATAGATACTGGTCATTTAAACAGTAAATGTGATAGCAAGGCACATTCATGTGAATTAAAAGGCTAAAGAAGCCCAACCTGCTCCACATTCTGGCCTTGTCTCTGCATGGCCCGTAGAATTTCCTCATAAGAGTAACCCATTCCCACCAGAGTCTCCACACACTGACGTTCACTGGGCGTCATGCTGAGAAGAGCTCCACCACATGGCAGACCAGTAGATCCTGTTCCAGGGTTGGTCTAGTCAAAGGAAAACAACACACAACAAACACAATGAGTATCGAAGAGCTCCCCACACACCTCAAGGAAATAAGCAGTATGTTAGTGAAAACTCAACCGGTTTCGGTGTTCCACCCTTGATGTGGCTGGGAGGCTCAGGGGCAATAATAACTTGTGTTTTTGGTAACGATGGCGGATGGAACCTAGGTAGGTTCCGTCGGGGAGAAGGAATAGGTTCAGATGCAGGGCTTCTTTTTATTGACTCTGGTTCGCCAGAATCAGAGAGTTTGGGGAAAGTCAGAGAGCGGATGTTACAAGGCCGATCGTCTGTTTCTAAGCCCGCTCTTCCGGGATGTCCGACTTTGTCTATATCAAGCAGTGCAACCAAACCGTTTGGTTTGTGAGCAAAGCCTGGTTTGGATGAGATGCTGGTGTTGGTGCCGGGTGGAGACGGGCTGTTTCCACGAGATACTGAACCCTGCTGAGGTGGAGATACAGAAGGTGGAGGTTGGCTCTGTAGAATGTTTCTCAACTCTTCCTTATCATCCAGGGTTTTCAGTTCTAGCTTGTCAAAGGGGTCTTCCTCCCGCTCAAAGTCGGCTAGATTGAGGTTTTGTGGCTGTGGAGTGTTGTCCTGGGATATCCTGGGGCCAAGTCTGGGGGCAGGCAGTGGAGTGAGGATGGCGTTGTGACTCAGCCCTGCCAGGACAGGGTTCAGCGCTGGTGGTGGAAGGTCCTGGTCCTCTGCCGCAGAGCGAAGGTTGTTCCCTCCACCTCCATCAATGTCCCCAGACACCGACTCCCTGCTCTCAGCCTCCTGCTTGGCTGCTGCTTCCTCTGCTCTGACAGCTGCTGCTCTGGCATCAGCAAGATCCATCCCCCAGCGAATGCTACGCCTCTCCAGTGTAAAGTCATACTGTTCAGAGGATAAAATAAAGATAAGGAGGGAAAAGGGTCCGGAGAAAATAATAACAGTGTTAGTCATTGATAATAATGTTAAAATTCTAAAGGTTCTTAATACCAGAAAGCCTGGACAGAAAAACAAAAAACGAAATTAATTCTTTTCAGATATGCATTTCTATGATCGTTTATTTTTAACAAAAAACTATTAAGAGAGATGCAAATGTATTTATTAATAGAGTGTATTAAAATTATGTTTATCATTTATATTCTATCATGATGCATATTTGTAAAATTTGTAACAAAAACAACAGCAAAAAAGCAAGACAATCCAGATGTTCTCCGAACCTTTGTGTCTGCAAGTACAGCTTTATAATCTGGCATACAGAAACCAACGGGTAACCCCACTTTAGCTGGACATCGGAATTTGTCGTTTAACTTGAAAGGAACATCATCAAGGTAGCAGGTGGGTCCTGTGTACAGAAAATGATGATTACTGGAAGCATAGGCAGAGGTTGATGACCAGAAACAGCAAGTTAACAGACCAACAGACTGGGAACTGCAGCAGTTTCTGAGGAAATAATCCACCTCAGGGGATCTTCAGCTATCGATTATTTTAGCAAATCATTCATTTTGTGATGATTTTCTTTATTAGCTGGCTAATATAAAAATAATGCACATCTGTCCACATTTCACAAACATGGCACACTGCAAAAACTGATCAAACATAAAATAAAAATGTCTTGCAATCAGTGTGGTTGACCTTTAATTTGAGCAGGTTAACAAAATAATCTGTCAATGGAATTAGTAGTTTTGCCCTTAATATAAGATCAATAGATATTACGCACTTGAAATAAGATAATACCTTGTTTTCTTATTTTATACTTAAATCATCTTATGCCATTGGTCATCGATCTAATTACATCTATAATACACCTATATTACTTTGATTTAAATTGTTGCTGTGTAAAAGTTAAAAGAAATATGTAAAAAATTAATTTAATGTTTAAAAACACCTCTTAATATCTTCAGCATAGAACATATTCACTTACAAGGTTTTTCATCCTTAATGCCAAACATATGTATTTAGGGCTGCAACAACGAATCGATAAAATCGATAAAAATCGACTTTTAAAAGCGTTGGCAACGAATTTCATCAACGATTAGTTGTGTCGCGCGATTAATGCGTCATCAGCCGCCGTGGGGCGCTTCCCCCATCCTAACCCCGTTCTCCTGCTCCCACAGGAGTCCCTCTCAGCGCTGCAGTCAGAGCCGCAGGATGTTACCCTCAGCGTCCAGACTGCAAATGAAGCGTGCATGTGCCGGGATTGACGGCGCAAACTGATCACAATAATTAAAATAGCCTGCGCTTTGTAAAGCGAAAAAAGTCGTAACATGCAACTATTGTAAAAACAAATTAACATGGCACGGAAGCACCTGAAAAGGAAACACGTTGGATCCGTCGATAGAAGTGAAGAGAGCTGATCAGCAGGGTGAGCAACCATGTTTGTTTCGTTTTAAAGTGGGGAAACGTAACGTTAGTTTCTCAGGTAGCTCATCTGATGCTTTCCTTACCTTGTTAGTAGGTTACAGACATTGATAAGGTTGGCTACTTATTTTACTTTTAATTTCATTTGAATTAGCTTAAGCAGCGTTTATATTTTCTTTATGAATAAATGAACTTGCAAATTATGAGGGCAAGGCTTTTAAAGTTTAAATCTTCTGGCAAAGATAAAGTAAAGAATATCCTGTAATTTATGGAAGTAAAGCAGAATAAAATCCAGCAAGATCAGTAATATGTCAATTAGTTATATGCCACATTCCCATGTAAATATCTGTCTTTGGAGGATGTGTTTTTTAGCACCCCTAGTCCTCTCATTTTTATTCCAAATACAATTTATAATTTGAATCACAGGGCTATTTTTATCTCTATGGTTAAGTATTTTCTCAAGTAGCAACTTTAACTGCTATACTTTCCTGTCTTAAAAGGCAGAACTCTTCTAGTCTAAAAAAAAATAATTTGTTGAAATGGGGGGAACTATTGTTTGAACCCCTTAGGGGCTTCTACAAACAAAAATACCTGTCTTTTTTGCGCTTTATGAAACAAAGTACCCTATATTTTGTGGATGTACAGCTACATTTTTTTACTCTCATGTAAGTTTGTGTAGTTTTAACACATTTATTTTTCATATTGCACCAGTACAGTTAATGAGCAACCTGTACTTGTGTGCTTGTTTGTTCTGTCTAAAATGTTTATTTTGGAATAAAGAGGTTAATATAAAAAATATTTTTTGTCCGATTCATCGAAAAAATAATCGTCCGATTCATCGATTTTTAAAATAATCCTTAGTTGCAGCCCTATATGTATTTCTGTAAAGTATTGGCTTAATAATGGTTTTAAGTGGGCTGTTCTTTTAGAAAATGGGGTTTTTGAATTTCCTCTTTGAACTGAATACCCCTTTGGGATTACTAAGAGTATTTTGAATTCAATTCAATTTCAGAGTCTGTATACTTCAGTTAACAATAATTTCATTACTAAATAATTCACTAATAATCATCCAATCTCAGTATTTTTTTTCAGCCCCAGGGTTAAGGCTCTGCATTCAAGAGGGAATAAAGTTGTTAACAGCTAGAAATGCTACCAGATCCAATTGTAAATATTAACATAAAACTGCAAAGACAGCTTTAAATCTAAATTACGAATCTAAAACGAATGTATGAGACATAAGCCCTTACCATTGTTATGCGCATCTGATCCAGACCTCCTCGCAGCCATTTAGACCCTACAGAAAGAGTGCATTAGTTTAGTGTTTCAGGGAAGTTTGTAGCAAGAAAAATGACAAGCAATGGCTTATTTCAGAGGTTCATATGGTTCAATAACTATCCTAAGGCATCTAAAATCACATGTTCCAAAGTAGCATGATATAAAATAGAAACAAAATGAAAATGAAGAAGTATCAGGTACTAAAAGACATATATCCCTGAAAAAAAAAAAATAATGTCCTGACCAAATAATACAAACTCAGTCAAAATCAAAAGACAACTTGAAAGACCTTATTCTGATAACAGCTTTGCTTATTCAACAATGTAGATCATGAAAACAAATCTGGCAAATCATAGAGGCATGAGCAACCACGTCAGAAGATTGCAGAACGCGTGTTTTCTTTTTTAGTCAGAGGCTTTAGCTGTTAGATAATTTGCTACAGGAGACCCTTGTGGTAGCCTTCAACATCTATAACAGCTCTTTTAGGAAACCTCTATAATACCATACGAGTGATAGCAACTTTCCGTTTAAACTGAAAGGCATTTTTGATTTGAAATTCAGATAATTAGCTTATTGTTTAGTTTATCTAAAACTGGAGGTGCAATTTTTCTTTGCACCAACTGCATCATATGTTTGGGTCAAGGGTATATTGTTTCCATTGCCTTAAATCCATTCTTGTCCAAAGTCCATTGTCATGGGATTTTACTGTTGCAAAGAAAAGTCCTTTCTGCTAGCTTGCATGCATGCATGGATTTACACGCAAGATACAACTCTATATTTCCTTCTCTGTGTCAGCAAACACATTTGAAGCCAACTACAACCATCTAAAGGGCCGGGATGAGGAAAATTAGTGTATCTTTTTTAAAGCAACAACAATTAAAATAGTGTACTTTATTTTGTGTTTGCATTTTTAATAATTGTGACAATATATCGCAAAAGTGAATGACTGTACAGCTCCATCCACAACCTTAGGTAGGTACCAAAATTGAGATGCAAAAAAAAAAAAAGGATGTTAAAGGGATGTACCCCCACCCGTCCACTAATGATAACACAGTACACAGTGGAGTATGTTAAAGACAACAGCAACCTTCTTGTGTTTTCCTCCTAAGCAAATACTTGACAGTCATTTACATCTGAAATCAATTCCGCTATTTGGTCAAACAGAAACAGAGCCTGGTTGTGATCAAAACAGAGGAAACTGTTCAGATACAATGAAAAAAAAAAAAAACGAGACCGTTTCCTTTTTTATAATACCACTTATCACATTAATAAAGAGTATATTTACAAGCAAAATCCCGAACTTTAAATTAAGCTCAAAATTATCTTTTAGCATTTACTTGGTTGTGTTTGATGTTGATAAATGCGCCACGAACCGCACATGACCAGTTCTCTTATCGTGGTTGATCTCTAACGCTGGTTAACGATGTGTAAACTCAACTTAGTCGTCAACCTATAGTTAGTAACTAACAGGACCTGGGGATAAAGTTATATAACACCACACCATCACAAGTTGCTGTTCCGCATTGCAACAGCTTTGCATGAACTCGCGGAAACACTGATGCTATGTTGATATAGTTCTGATATGAATGATAAAAAACAGTAAATGTAGGCTAGCTAACTTACACAACAGGATGACAGGAAATCAAATTCATTATAAGCTAACTTAATCTCAAACTAGCTCGTAGTAGTTCATCAACTGACAAATATGTCTTATAATACGCGCTGTCAGACTGTCAAGTTTCACACATTACAACACATTTGGACAGCTTTAGCTAGTTTACAGCACAGCATAAATCTCTAAGCGTTATCCAAACGCGCGGTTTAAAAAACTCAACGTGGCTTATTTTACCAGCCAATATGGAAAGATAGGGGGACTTAAAGTATACACTGACGAACACAGCAAAACACGGTGTATTGGTCCTCGGCGTACGCCACCGTTCATGCTAATACGCTTAGCATCGGCTGTGGCCTGACTAACGTTACGTGCTGCCACCGCCCCTCACACAGCTAAACAACTGGCCCGCAAATTGAAAATATTGCTTTTCTCACCAGTATCAACTCAGTCCCCTCTTGTGAAATCCAAACGAAGCCTATCCACGATGAAAGTTCGACAAAAACTGCTCTCGGAATGAGTTTTAGTCCAAGTAAAACCTCTTTCCTGCTTTGCCGTAGGTCGCCATCTTGGTTTGTCGGGCTCCCTCCAGTGGTTCCTGTGTGATGTCACTCACCCCATGACGTCAGACTGGACGGATTTTAGAAAACATTAGGCAAAAACTGGACAACAAAAACATAAATGTTTAACATTTTTTTTAGATTAGAGTGTGCCTAACTATGGAAGCCCGTTTCCGCCACTCTGTAAAAAAAAAAAAAAAAAACTATCTCAATATAATGAGATAGTAACTCAATATAATGAGATAGTATCTCATTATAATGAGATAGTATCTCAATATAATGAGATAGTATCTCATTATAATGAGATAGTATCTCAATATAATGAGATAGTATCTCAATATAATGAGATAGTAACTCAATATAATGAGATAGTATCTCATTATAATGAGATAGTAACTCAATATAATGAGATAGTATCTCATTATAATGAGATAGTAACTCAATATAATGAGATAGTATCTCATTATAATGAGATAGTAACTCAATATAATGAGATAGTATCTCATTATAATGAGATAGTATCTCAATATAATGAGATAGTATCTCATTATAATGAGATAGTAACTCAATATAATGAGATAGTATCTCATTATAATGAGATAGTAACTCAATATAATGAGATAGTATCTCATTATAATGAGATAGTATCTCATTATAATGAGATAGTATCTCATTATATTGAGATAGTAACTCAATATAATGAGATAGTATCTCATTATATTGATATAGTTTTTTTTTGTTTTTTTTACCAATTTTTTAAGTTAAAATTGAGTATTTTTGGTCAATAGCTCCCAGGTCATGTGACCTATTGACCCCAAATCAGTGTGAAATTGTTCTACTAGTCTCTGTAAATGGGGCACACTCATTTGTTTTTCATTTTAACTCTTTTTTTATTTTTTTACCAATTTTCTTAGTTAAAATTGAGTATTTTTGGTCAATAGCTCCCAGGTTATGTGACCTATTGACCCCAAATCAGTGTGAAATTGTTCTACTAGTCTCTGTAAATGGGGCACACTCATTTGTTTTTCATTTTAACTCTTTTTTTTTTTTTTTTTACCAATTTTCTTAGTTAAAATTGAGTATTTTTGGTCAATAGCTCCCAGGTCATGTGACCTATTGACCCAAAATCAGTGTGAAATTGTTCTACTAGTCTCTGTAGATGGGGCACACTTATTTGTTTTTCATTTTAACTCTTTTTTTATTTTTTTAGCAATTTTTTAAGTTAAAATTGAGTATTTTTCTTCAATAGCTCCCAGGTCATGTGACCTATTGACCCAAAATCAGTGTGAAATTGTTCTACTAGTCTCTGTAGATGGGGCACACTCATTTGTTTTTCATTTTAACTCTTTTTTATTTTTTTACCAATTTTTTTAGTTAAAAATGAGTATTTTTGGTCAATAGCTCCCAGGTCATGTGACCTATTGACCCAAAATCAGTGTGAAATTGTTCTACTAGTCTCTGTAGATGGGGCACACTTATTTGTTTTTCATTTTAACTCTTTTTCTATTTTTTACCACATATGGACACCCTTATGCTTGAACATGGTGTTCGTTATGGACAATCCATGACGAGCACAGAAGTCCAACAACAGAACACCACTCGAGTTCAGATCGGGGCGACCATTCCTCCCAACCATGCCCTTCCAGGTCTCACTGTCATTGCCCACGTGAGCGTTGAAGTCTCCCAGCAGAACAAGGGAGTCCCCAGGAGGGGCACCCTCCAGTTCTCCCTCTAAGGACTCCAAGAAGGGTGGGTAATCTTAACTGTTGTTCGGCCCGTTAGCACAGACAACAGTCAGAACCCGTCCCCCCACCCTTAGGCGGAGCCCTCTCGTTCACCGGGATGAACCCCAACGTACAGGCGCCGAGATGGGGGGCAACAAGTATGCCCACTCCTGCCCAGCGCCTCTCACTGTGGGCAACTCCAGAGTGGAAGTATGTCCAGCCCCTCTCAAGGAGACTGGTTCCAGAACCAGAACCATACGTCAGGTGAGACAGACTATTTCTAGCTGGAACCTCTCAGCCTCACACACTAGCTCCGGTCCCTTCCCACCAGCGAGGTGACATTCCACATCCCAAGAGCCAGCTTCTGCAGCCGAGGATCGGACCACCACGGTCCCCTCCCCCGGCCAACACACATTGCATACGACCCTTATGGCCCCTCTCACGGGTGGTGGGCCCATGTAAGGGGGGACCCAACAATTCACACTGATTTTGGGTCAATAGGTCACATGACCTGGGAGCTATTGACCAAAAATACTCAATTTTAACTAAAAAAATTGGTAAAAAAAAAAAAAAGAAGAGTTAAAATGAAAAACAAATGAGTGTGCCCCATCTACAGAGACTAGTAGAACAATTTTACACTGATTTTCGGTCAATAGGTCACATGACCTGGGAGCTATTGAAGAAAAATACTCAATTTTAACTTAAAAAATTGCTAAAAAATAAAAAAAGAGTTAAAATGAAAAATAAATGAGTGTGCCCCATCTACAGAGACTAGTAGAACAATTTCACACTGATTTTGGGTCAATAGGTCACATGACCTGGGAGCTATTGACCAAAAATACTCAATTTTAACTAAAAAAAATGGTAAAAAAATAAAAAAAGAGTTAAAATGCAAAACAAATGAGTGTGACCCATCTACAGAGACTAGTAGAACAATTTCACACTGATTTTGGGTCAATAGGTCACATGACCTGGGAGCTATTGACCAACAATACTCAATTTTAACTAAAAAAATTGGTAAAAAATAAAAAAAAGAGTTAAAATGAAAAACAAATGAGTGTGCCCCATCTACAGAGACTAGTAGAACAATTTTACACTGATTTTGGGTCAATAGGTCACATGACCTGGGAGCTATTGAAGAAAAATACTCAATTTTAACTTAAAAAATTGCTAAAAAAATAAAAAAAAGAGTTAAAATGAAAAACAAATGAGTGTGCCCCATCTACAGAAACTAGTAGAACAATTTCACACTGATTTTGGGTCAATAGGTCACATGACCTGGGAGCTATTGACCAAAAATACTCAATTTTAACTAAAAAAATTGGTAAAAAAATAAAAAAAGAGTTAAAATGCAAAACAAATGAGTGTGCCCCATCTACAGAGACTAGTAGAACAATTTTACACTGATTTTGGGTCAATAGGTCACATGACCTGGGAGCTATTGAAGAAAAATACTCAATTTTAACTTAAAAAATTGCTAAAAAATAAAAAAAAGAGTTAAAATGAAAAATAAATGAGTGTGCCCCATCTACAGAGACTAGTAGAACAATTTCACACTGATTTTGGGTCAATAGGTCACATGACCTGGGAGCTATTGACCAAAAATACTAAATTTTAACTAAAAAAATTGGTAAAAAATAAAAAAAAAGAGTTAAAATGAAAATCAAATGAGTGTGCCCCATCTACAGAGACTAGTAGAACAATTTCCAAGTGATTTTGCGTCAATAGGTCACATGATCTGGGAGCTATTGACCAAAAATACTCAAATTTAACTTAAAAAATTGCTAAAAAATAAAAAAAGAGTTGAAATGAAAAACAAATGAGTGTGCCCCATCTACAGAGACTAGTAGAACAATTTCACACTGATTTTGCATCAATAGGTCACATGACCTGGGAGCTATTGACCAAAAATACTCAATTTTAACTTAAAAAAATGGTAAAAAAAAAAAAAAAAAACGATCTCATTATAATGAGATACTATCTCATTATATTGAGTTACTATCTCATTATATTGAGATACTATCTCATTATATTGAGATAGTTTTTTTTTTTTTTTTTTTACAGAGTGGCGGAAACGGGCTTCCATACCTAACAATTAGAATATCAGCGGAAATGTAATTTACCGAAATAATCAAACTGCATTCAAGCGAAGTGAAACTCATTTTCAAAATGTTATATTTCAAAATTTACCTGATCAATTAGCCTACTCATTATCTTTTAATGAGAACTTAAATTCAATAAAAATCCATTATCCTGGTTTAATATAATTGTTTGTTCCTTTAATGTTAAATATGTTAGATCATTAATATGTTTAAAGAATGTAAAATATATGCCTTACAAATCAAGTAAGTTATTAATAGTTACTAGAGGGGAAACATTAAAAAAGCAAAATAACTTTCTAAAAAGTGTGCAAAGAATTTACGTAATTGCTAAAGCACCTATGATTCCGTTTTGAGCAGTCTTTTTTACTTCAAAGCTGTCAACAAAACCCTCATTATATGTAATGCATTTTGGTGCTATCAAAATTATATGGTTGTGTATAGAAAACATGGATATTTTCAAAGGACACAACAACGGCTAACAAATCCTAGAAATATAATCAGTCAACCAGTAGTGATTACCAGATGTAAAAAAAAAAATATATATATATACAGTATATATATATATATATATATATATATATATATATATATATATATATATATATATATATATATATATATATATATATATATATATATATATATATATATATATATATATATATATATATATATATATATATATATATATGGGTAACACAAGGCTGTAAGACACCTGCAGTAGACTTTGCCACCCAAGTATTCAAAGTTTATGCTTTATCAAGCAGACTCCAAATAGCTTGACAGGCTAAGAGATTTAAAGGGAAGGAACCACAATGAGGATTGCTTTTGTCGTTCTTTTTTTTTTTTTTTGGTACAAAATGTATAATAGACAGTTAACACCAAGGAATATGTGGCTCTTATTTATGTTTTAAGAGGTGCAAATATGTGGTTTACTGTCCCTTCCTTAAGCATTGGAACAGCAAAGCAAATGGATTTTGCTGTTCACTTAAGAATTTAAGTTTAAAATCATAAGATTAGCATGAGATAATAGTTCTAAATATCAGCTTTCTTTTCCTCGTATTTGTATGAACTTTTGGTAAACAACTTATGATGTTGGCTTCCTGTTAAATCCAGAATAGAATTTAAAATCCTCCTTCTCACTTATAAACCTTAAATGGCCAAGCTCCATCAGATATCAGAGATATGATTGTTCCTTATGTTCCTAA